CAGAAGGTGTGGAGTGGGGAGGGGGGAGGGCGTGACAGGCATTGGGATGTGAACTGAGGCTTGCTTGGGCCACATCTGGTTAGAGGAAGAGGAGACTGGGGAAGGACAGGCTGAGTCTTCATCATCATTAATATGCTTTTGTCTATAGGTATCTAACCCTAAATGGTACTGATTTAAATCACAGATTATCTTCTTAGAACAAGTCAGGAATGACTGTGGGCTTGGTAATCAGCAGCCCAGTTTCATAAGCAAGGACTGGCATCTGCCTATCTGATCCCTTCCCCCACGGTTCCAAGTTGGCTGTCATGGCTCCAGGTGCCACAAACAGACCAGGTGAGGGAGGGAACATCTTCCACACCCCAAACTCAACAACTAATGCATTTCTCTCTCACATGAAGCAGACATGTAGCCGGACTCCAGTGACTCACACCTGTAATCCTAGCTACTCAGGAGGCTGAGATCTGAAGATCACAGTTCAAAGCCAGCCAGGGTAGAAAAGTCTCTGTGACTCATCTCCAATAAACCACTAGAAAACCAGAAGTGGTGCTGTGGCTCAAGTGGTAGAGTACTAGCCTTGAGCTGAAGAGATGAAGGACAGTGCCCAGGCTCAGAGTTCAAGCCCCATGACCAACAACAAAAAAATAAAATAAAAAATAAAAAAGAAGCAAACATGTGCCAGTCCCAGCAAATAAGAGTCATCAAACTTGTTCTGAAAGGTCCAACATGGAACCAGGTGCCTGTGCCTCACAGCTATAATCCTACCTAATCAAGAGGCCTGGATCTGAGGAGCAAGGTTCAATGCCAGCCTAGGCTTGAAAAGTCTATGAGACTCTTATCTTCAATTAACCAGCAAAAAGCCAGAAGTGGAAGTGTGGCTCAAGTGGTAGAGTGCCAGCCTTAAGTGAAAGAACCAAGCAAGGGCTTGGCTCTGAGTTCAAACTCCAGTAGGTCCAAGTTCAAATCCCACACAAAAGGGTCAGGACGGTAAACATTTTCTGGCTTTGAGGATATATATTTGGTCACTCAACTCTGCTATTAGAATGTGAAAGCTGTCACAGGCAATGAATGTGCCACCAAACAAGCCTGGACACAGTCCAATAAAGCTTTATGTGTAGAAGCAAGTGGGTTGCAATTGCTTGCCACTGGAGACCAGTTCTCCTCAAATACAGAACACAGTTAGGTATGAAACGCATCACAGGCAGTCTGATTTATAACACTGGTGAAAGTGGCTCCCTCTATTCTCCTCTGGCCTGTAACAAACGATCCTCAGGAGGCTCTAATTCATACTCTGAGCATAGGATCACCCAAAAGCAAAGCTAGGGCATAGACATAAATGAGAATAAAACTTCAAAGAGTATTTCCTAATGAGCATCAAAGTAGATGCTAAAGAAAGACTCAGGAACCTGGCTACACTTTGTTCAATTTACTTTACAAAGTGAACATTTAGGAAAACATTTAATTACACAGAGAAGGCTCTTAGTCCCTTTAAACATTTAAATATCACTAAGTTCTAGAAACAACTCTTAGATCTCTCTCGCTCCCCCTCTCCTTGTTCCTCTCTCTTTCTTTCTCTCTCCCTTTCTCTCTTTCTCTTTCCTTCTCCTAAATTGAAAGTCAAGACTGAAAAGGCTTAGTACAAACTCAGATTTTGTAGATGAGGGGACAGAGGTTCAGAAAAGGAAGCTAATTTTTAAAGACCACAGAGCCACTGGGTAGCAGAACCAAGGCCCCAAATGAGGCTGTAACAGTTTGCAAATAATGTTCAGAATATTTTCTGCACCTTCAAAGAGGAAGACCATATAAGTTCTTCAAGAACAACTTGGCTCTTAGGCCCTGTGCTGTTCTTCCCTGAAGATGCTCCCTTCATATAGGGCTGAATTCAGGAGTATCCCTGTGATTTAGTTTTGCTCAGGAAATGTGAGTGACAGTGCCACATATCACTTGGGATTGCCAAGTCTGTCTGTCCGAAGCCTGGCAATGCTCCAGCCAGAGATGGGTCTGTCAGTCTGGCTTGCAAAATGAAGATGCTAAGAAGTATAGTATGGCTGCCTGTAAAAGACATGATCAAGAAGTAAACACCAAGATTGAGGATCATCTGTTACTGTAGCATAACTGAGTCTATCCTGACCCAAACACAGAATTCATAACCCTGATCGCTGATCTGGAGAATCTCAGGTGTTAGACATGTTACGTGGAATGAAAGAGCACAATTTTTAGGATCAGCCTTCCAGGGCTCATATCTCACTAGTGGGATAGCTTTACTCAAATTATTTTCTTCATTGCTTGGATTTCCCTACGGGTAATATAACACTAACGCTATTTAGTCTGCCTGAGTAGTTATAACAACATACCCAAGACAGGGTAGTTTGTAAATAACACCAGTGTATTGCTCCCAGTTCTGAAGGCTGAGAGATGGTGGCTGGGCTGGCCTCTTTGCTTCTCCAATGGTCCTATCCATGAGTGACCTATGGAGTGGAGAACAAACTCCTTCTAGCCTCTTTGACAGGGTGCAGACCACGCAAAACAGTGCCCTCCTGCCTACTCCTTCCCCACAGGCCCCACTTCCTATGCTGCTGCACTGGCCATTGGGTTTCAACATGTGACACAAATCTTTACACCAAAACAGGCACCCACCCTGGGGACAGCAAACTAAGCATGCGTTCTGAGGACTCTGGCTTGATGGCCATCATTCTCTTCAGCCCTGCTTCTGCCTGGTAGATATGCAACGGCAATAAGTGGTGAGAGTCAGGAGATTTTACTACACTATCCCATAGCCCCATATTCTACACCCCCAAAGACATCACTCTTCCAGAATTTTCTCTCCCCCAGGTAAGAAAACACTATCCTTGCCAGAAGTCAAGGGGAATAGGCAGGAGGGGCTCTACAGTGGAGGGCTAGGGACAGGAATCCTGAAATCAGACGGGTCATATTGCCTGGTCCTTCCCTTAGTGCTGTTGTCAAGTTCCTAACTTCAGTGAACCTCAAATACCAACTCATGGGGTAAAATGAGGATTCAGAGAAATGATTCATGAAAAAAAGTGCTTATCGCTGTGTCTGGCACACCACAAGGGCTCAGCAGATGACAAGATCAATATCAGTATTCTTTTCTGCCAGTACAACCAAGGAGAGTGTGGGCAGAAAAGAAGCGGCAGGAGGTGACTCATGCCTTGAGGAGTCTGAATGAGCAACTGAGATCTTTGTAGCCTCCCCTGGTATACCTCACTGAAGCCACAGACTGATTGTCTGCCTGGTACCAAGTTGGTACCACCACAATCAATGCTGGCATGGACTACTAAGCCAGTATCGGGGGAGGGGGGTGGTTGCCATGTTAAGGACATCTATTAAGGAGCTGACTTCTCTCAACCTGTCCAAGTGCCCTATGAAAGGTAATGACAGTGTGACAGGGAAACAAATCACGTGAAGATATATCAGGTCTCTTTGTGGGGACTTCACACTCAGCATGGTGCCGCTCATAAATGGAATCTTCTCACTCAAGTTCTTTCTAGCCATATCCTGAGAGCTCACCCCTGCTGATGTCAGAGCCCATGATGGACTTCATGAACCAGGGTTTTAACGCACCAGACTTGGAGCTCCACCCAGAGAAGCAGTGCTGGCCTCCCCTCTGGTCCAGGGCATGCCTGCCAGGGGTCAAACCAGAAGTGAGCTGCAGAAGGAATGGTTGAAGGTGAACTCCACAGGGCCAGCCCTTGAGGCTCTGTTAGCTTTCTCCTAGAAATCTTACTATCTCCTGATTAAGTCCTAAATGCAGGTACACTGAGGAGAGGAGGAAACTCATGAGGCTAATTGGTTGTATTTGAATACGGTCACCAGTTGTTGCTATTGTGCATGCTACAGTGTTTCTTGAATGTTCCCATATGCCATGCACTGCCTTTCTCCAAATCTGCAAGGATAGGTCAAGTGGGAGACCAAAACTCAGAAAAGGAGGGAAGTAAAAATCATCCAAGGAAAGTTCTGCTGAGCACATTGCTCCATGCCATACCTAGGGCTCTGCCTTGGCTGGAAGAAAATGAACAGGCTTCACAGGACATCACAGGGCCTTCAGTATGCACAGAAACACTCCTAGAGCCTTCTGTCTTTCCAAGAACACCGTGAGAGTCTTCAATCCTCACAGAAACTCCACCAGTGCCTTCATCCTCTCAGGAATATGCTGAAGATTTTCCATCCTCACAGGAGCTCCACCAGGGCCTGCAGCCCTCACAGGACCCTCACCAGGGCCTATATTCTCTCAGGAATATCCCAAGGATCTTTAGTCCTCACAAGAAAGTGCACAGGCTTCACAGGAACCTCACAAGGGCCTTCATTCCTCACAGGAACATCCCCAGGGCCTTGAGTCCTCTCAGAAACTCTACCAGGGCCTGATCTTCTCAGGAATACTATGAGGGCCATCAACACCCACAGAAATACCACAACTTCTTCACTCCTCTCAGAAATACCAGGAGGGTTTTCCACACCCATCAAAACACTACAAGCTTCTTTAGTCCTCGCAGGAACACCACAACAGCTTTCAATACCAAAGCATGAGGAACTGGCCAGAATTGTGGGTGCATCCCTTGGCAAATACTGCACAAGAGCCTGACAGACTATTTCCTCTGTTAATGCTATCCTAAGTAGCAGGCACTCGCTCCTGAGGCTACTGGGAATATGTCTTTGCTGCAGCAGCCCTCATAGCAAGGCCTGAGGTTGGAAAGAAAACCTTTGATTTGGTCAGCAATTGTGTTGGTTTATTTCTGAGTCAAAGGAGAAGGAAGGCAATGACAGTCTATGGTAAGGAATAGCACAAAAAATCAGAATATTTTCAGTACAAATAATTGCAAGATGACAGTTCAGGGTGGTTTAATTTCCTATTGCATTTTAATGACCAATAAAGAAGATATAAAAATGTCATTTATAGAGAAACACCAACATTTTGTTTTCCTGGTTATTTTAACAGATCAAATGGAACTTACAATATGATTTTTCTTACTTTTACTTTGTTTTGCCAAACACTATAATCAAGCTCTCATGCTACAGATGTGTGAAGTTATAGTTTGTCACATATCAAGGTAGATGTGAAAATTAAACAGGAAGAAAGCTTCGCTCTTTCCCCTCTGTTGACAAGACAAGGAAACCCTTGTAAACCTCATCCATGGGTATTTCCCCTGTTCTGATGGTTTTGACTGGTTTTTAACAGGAAGTTGCATTTCCATTCTTAGGCATGAGGGTGGTGTTGGTAGGGACTCATGAGGGACCCTCAGGGTGTTAGGAGGGGGAAGGGAAGTTTTTCTTTTAATTCATAGCTTCATGGGCCTCTGTTCACCACTGGGAACCAATCCCAAGCCTGCCAGATGAGGTAAGGTACATGAGCTGGGCAGGGAAGGGGCCATGCCCCAGCTCCTCAACTTGGCCCATGCTCCTCCATAGGTGGGAGGCTGTGACCAGGGCTGCTTGCTGAGATGAGAGCAGACTCCTCTTCCCACACAGCCTCCCCCTCCTCCTCCTCTCAAGACAGCTGCTGGGACTTTTACAACCCAACTTCTGCTGCTAGCAGCATTGCAAATGCAGAATCTGGCTTCTCTGCGAGGACTTCAGGCTTGTCAAACTCAATCACCTGGAAGTCAGAGAAAAAAATGACATTTCAGACTATCCTCCCACCATAAAGCCCAAACATTTGAGGAGGTAAGACCAAACAGAGCTTCCTGCACCTTCCCATTTTCCATGACCAAGACGATGTCACAGTTGAGAACCGTGTTTAGACGGTGGGCGATGGTCAACACTGTGCAGCCTTTGAAGGCATCTTTGATGGTGCTCTGGACAAGGGTATCTGTCTTGGAGTCCATGGAGGCAGTGGCTTCATCAAGGAGAATGATCTGTCAAGGAAGGGAGGAATGTCAAATTAGCCAATGCTGTGCCAAGAGGAAAATTTATAGTCTCAGATCTATTTTTTAAAAAAGGAAGGGGAAACCATGCTACCTATGTTTCTTTGGGCCTGGTTTACTTCACTTAACATAATTTTTTCCAAGTCTTTCCATCTCCTAACAAATGGGGCAATGTCATTCTTTCTGATGGAGGCATAGAATTCCATTGTGTATGTGTGTGTGTGTATGTGTGTGTGTGTGTGTATATATATATATATATATAGAGAGAGAGAGAGAGAGAGAGAGAGAGAGCTCACATTTCTTGATCCATTCATCTACTGAGGGGCATCTGGGTTGGTTCCATATCTTAGCTATGGTAAATAATGCTGTGATAAACATAATTGTGCTGGTAGCCTTAGTATGGCCTTGTTTGTGATGGTTTGGGTAAATGCCCAAAAGTGGGATTGCTGGGTCATAGGGGAACTCTATGTGGAGTCTTTTGAGGAACCTCCAGAATACTTTCCAAAGTGGTTGAACAAGTACATGTGTAGGACAAGTGGAAAAGGCCAAAAGCTACGTACATATGACCACATAAGATGATGTTAAGCAAGGGGCTGGGAAGGTGGCTCAGTGGTAGAGCACTTGCCTTGCATGTACGAGGCCCTGGGTTCGATTCCTCAGCACCACATAAGCAAAAAGAAAAAGCCAGAAAGTGGCGCTGTGGCTCAAGTGGTAGAGCGCTTAGCCTTGAGCTGAAGAGGTGATGGACAGCGCCAGGCCCAGAGTTCAGGCCCCACGACCAGACCCAAAAAATAAAAATAAAAATAATAAAAGATGATGTTAAGCGAAATGAACCCCAAGATAGGGACACAAATATCTTTTTTCTTTCTTGCTATTGTTTCTAATGTATTTATAATGTACCATGTGATTTTTTTTGTTGCTTTGTATGTTCCTCCCCCATGCTATAACCCCTGTTTTCACTGTATTTGATGTCAGTGTCCTGAATCTTGTATATACACTTCTCTAATTTGGGGAGGGGAAAGGAAAAAACAAAATACATAAATAAGGGTACAGGTTGACCCATTGTAACAATGAGATGTACAAAACACCATGTTGAAAATGAACTTTACAACTTCAGCAGGGTGGGGTTGGGGGGAGAGGTAGTTGTGGAGGTGGGAGGGAAGGGATGGCAGGGGGAAACAAAGGAGGAGGCAACAATGCTCAATAGGAAATGTACTCATTACCTTGCTCATGTAACTGTAACCCTTCTGTACAACATTTTTACAATAAAAAATTACATAATAAAGGAAAAGGAGGAGGAGGATGAAAGGAAAAAGGATAGGAGGAGAAGAGAGGGGAGGAGAGGGAAGGGAAAGGAGAGGGGACAGCACTCAGAGGGGAGGTGATAAGGAATGGAAGGGGAAGGAAAAGCTGAAACACATCTAACAAAGGGACAAAAAGGATAGTGAAATAAAAGCCAAATCATATCATGTTCATCTTCAGAGGGACTTACTGGAGAAATGAGGGTTTTTTTTGTTTGTTTGTTGTTTGTTAGTATTGGTCCTGGGGCTCAAACTCAGGATCTGGGAGCTGTCTCTGAGCTTTGTTGATAAAGAGTTGCACTCTACCACTTGGGCCATAGCTCCATTTCCAGTTTTTTTTTTTTTTGGTGCTTCATTGGAGATAAGAGTCTCATAGACTTTCTGCCCAGGCTGGCACAATCCTCAGATCTCAGCCTGACAAATAGCTAGGGATTACAGGCATGTGTCACTGGTGAGGTTGTATAGTCTTTGTTTCTCTTTTTAAGTGGTTTATTTTAACTCTTAACACTAAGAAGAACTATTGCATAGGCTTTCTCTTGTGTGTTAACAGGAGCCAGCATGGAATATAACAGCAACATTTATCTAAATTTGCTGCTACTAAGGTAACACATTATCAGGAATTTAGGGACAAGACAGCACAAATTCACATCTTACAAGTCCTCAAGTCAGGACAGCATCAGGTACTGTCTGCCTTCTGTCCTTTTCTGCTTCTAGGGACCTATACCCCTAACCCACATCAGATCCCCTCTCTCTCTTACATGCTTCTCATAGAGACACATGTGAAAACACAAAGCCCATCGAGATCCAAGATCATCTTCCCACCTTAAGATCCTTAACTTAATCACACCTGCAAAGTCCTCTTTGCCTTGAGAGAGAACATGTTCTCAGGCTTTGGGTATCTTAGCTTGAACACCTATATCAGAGGATGGGGAGGAGCACTATTGTATCTACCAAAGGCACATATTACTTATAAGTCAGAGGGCTTGACCTTAGCTCCAGACTCTGCTTGATCTTGGCCAAGTTACTCAATCTCCCTGGGGCACTGTTCTCTCACATACAAAAAATGGTTACTTATACCTTATTATAAACATGAAACCCAAACACACAACCAAAGAGCTGTAAGTAGAGTGACAGCAAACACCAAGTACAACCAGGCTCCCTTTCCCCTACCAGTAGTATTTCTTAAGAGGATGGGATTTCTAAAATAATCATATTCTCTTCCTCCTCATTAATGAAGCTAGCTTAGTCACTAAAAAAAAAAATTAACAGTCAGGCCCTAATGGCTCATGCCTATAATCCTCCCTATTCAGAAGACTGAGATCTGAGGAATGTGGTTCAAAGCCAGCCTGGGCAGGAAAGTCTGTGAGACTCTTCTCTCCAATTAATCATCAAAAAGCCAGAAGTGAAGTGGTAGAGTTATAGCCTTGAGCATAAAAGCTCAGGAACAGAGCCCAGACCCTGAGTTCAAGCTCCAGGATGAGGAAGGAGAAGGAAAAGAAGGAAGAGGAAGAGGAAGAGGAGAAATAACATGTACACATTTTACCAATCTTCTATGCTACCATTCTGATGGCCTTTTTGAGTGTCCTGAGCCCCGTTGCTGAGAACTCAGAATTGTTCAGGAACAAAGGGAAAAAGTTGAGAGGCAGACTTTTCAAACTCAAACTAGAGAACACCTAAGCAAGACCTCCTGGGGCCTCACCCTGGGAGGAAGACAAGATTGTTGTAAGTGACTATTTTTCAATTTTTTACCCCCTCACAACTTTGTCTTAAGAAAAACAGATTGGTTTATAAATGCCTCAATTGCTGTGTCTTTGCTGAAAGACAAACATGGGATGGCTCTACCTCCTAGATTGAGCCGCGCTGTGGGAAATGCCCAGAATTTGACCAATCCATTTTCCATGCTATTTCCTTACTTTTGAATTACGGAGAAGTGCTCTGGCCATACAAAGAAGCTGACGTTCCCCCACTGAGAAGTTTTCTCCACTTTCTGTGACTTCTGCTTGTAATTTTTCTGGGAGTTTCATTATCTAGAAAACAGAGAAAATGCCACATTTATGCTGATGATCCATAAAATTGTCCTGCACCAGCTATATTGATTACCCCCTTCTCTTGCATTCATCAGCTTGCTTTTATTTTATTGCAAGAAAGGACGTGCAAAACAACCACCATTTCAATATTGCAAACAGGCACAGGCAGCGCCCAGGGAGTAGGCGGATGTTAATAATTTAACATCACAGTATGACTCATATAACCCCTGTAGACAATTCACCAAAAGAATACAAATGATGCATGTATGACTCCAAAGAACATAAACAAGCAGAAAGGACTTTCAGAATCTCCATTTCTCTGGACAAAATAGAAAAAGCAGGGAAGGCTTTCTGAGGAGGACAAGGCAGGGTCTCCACTCTCCAGGGCAACCAGCTCAAGTGGCTTGGGGTGATGCTCGTCTTGGCACTATGGGGTTGCAAAGGTGGTGTGCCCACTTTGACCGTAGGTGAGACTGTGGCTTTTGCACAACAGGACCCCAGATCATGAATAGCTTGAAACACCATGTCCTCAAACCAGTTACACATGCCATTCCCAGAGCATGCCACATCCACTCATCTGCCTGCGGTTCCTCTGTGGAGTTGTGGGACATTCTCTCACTCAAGAATCAGGTAGCATTGGCGTCAAGTCTCCATTCTGCTACTTACTGATCTCAGTATGTTAAATACTTCTTTGAGGTTTAAATTTCAGCATTCTAAACTGAGGGTTCAGAGAGCTGTGGTAAGAAGCAAAAGAAATAATGCATATGGAGCTCCTGACTAGATCAGTGCAGTTAAACAGCACTTGTGGCTGTTCTTAGTAATAAAGAGGAAGCAAAGATTGTATTCTCCTGACCTAGATGGCACCCACAAATAAACCTGGACATGTGCTTGTCAAATTTAAAGCAGGCTAGGTATCTGGGGCACTGGTGCTGGGAGATGGAATCACCCTCTGGAGCTGCAGAGACCTACTGTGTCTCTCATGAACGTTCTTTCCAGAACCTGCCAGAGCACTTCATCGCTGTGACTCCCAAAGGGATCCAAGTTGAACCTGCAATGAGGGAAAGAAGGAGCTGGATTTTTCTGGGGATGAGGACAAGAGGAGGGAGTGTTCTGAAGATGAGAACAGGGGGAAGAAAAGGGTAGTGGGCCACGACACGCAAGTGGCCTCTGGAAACAGAAAGGCAAAGAAATGGCCTCTCGCCTGCAGCTCATAGGAGAGAAGAGGAGTTGAAGTGTGCAGTGCTCAGCCAAGCTATGATCAGGAGCAGAGAACACAGAGATAGGTAAAGTCTCAGAAGACAACTTGGGCTTCCTTACATCCATGGATAGCAAAGTAGGTTTGACCTTGTACAGATTTTTGACAGAGAGACATGGGGGGGGGCAAGCAATACCAGCTGGTATTCCATTCTCTTGGCCTTCAGAAGCCAGAGGTACATCTGTGGCTTCTAGCGCCTTGCAAAAGATTGAGCATGTCATAGACAGGAGGAAAATTAATGTTTTACGACATAACTCAAACAATTAGCTGAGTGTAGTAAATATAGTCCCCCTATTTTGTCTGGGGTTCACTGGGAGGAAATGTCCCTCTCACTGGACCATCTGAGAAGCCATAGTCTTCTCCCTTGCCTTTGCTTCCACATCAGATCTTGAGCCTACAGAAGTTGCAGCCCTTAAAGATTTGTAGATAATGGTGTGTGTGAGAGAGAGAGAGACAGAGAGATAGAGAGACAGAAACAGAGGGAATGAGAGAGTGAGAGAGAGTATAGAGTATAGATTGAAGAGTTGAGCTGCAGTCTAGAACAGAGGCACATGGATTTTTTTTTTTTTACTCAGGAAGTTGGGAATATGGACTGGGCATTGGTTTTGTAAAACCAATTAGTTTACATGAGTTTTTCTTAGTACCTCTCTCCCTAATTTCAATGCCAGAATTATTGAATCATAGTTGACTGATTGGTACAGAGCACTTTATTTGTTCCAAGTTTGTTTTCTTAGTAATCTGTCTGTACTAACTGGAGTATGTGACCACTAGTAAAAAACTAACAAAAAAAGTTGCAACTCTGCTCTTCTTGTATGTGCATGAATTCATACATTTCTGAAGAGATACCTACATTAATAAGGGACCAATTATTCTACTATGCACTCTATAGTACTTTTGAGAGTGGCCATTACCAAATTCATGGCATTAAGTAGGGCTGTCCAAGACGACTTGGATATCTTTTCCTCATCCATATGAAAGCATTTTGCCTATTCACAATGCAGTTTCTGAAATGCCAGTAAGGGTCAGAACCTGTCCCTGGCTCCCTCCAAAGCTGTACACAAAAGCAGTTAGCAACAATGATTCCTAGGGCTTTGAAGCTCCTATGAATGTGGCTTCCCTAATATAGGCCTGCTTGGGCCTGCCACACCCTGGGGACTCCACAAAGATCCGATTGGCCTTGTTTCATGATTCACAAAATAGGAATGCACGATCAAAAAACAGCTACCTTACTGTACCTACAAACAGGACAGGATCCTGGGGGATCATAGTCAGCTTGCTTCGGAGGTCCTCCAGACCCACGGTGCAGATATCCACCTCATCAATGAAGATGGTGCCACTGGCGGGCTCCACCAGACGGAACAAGGCCATTCCCAGTGATGACTTTCCTGGGAACCATGAAAGCAAGAATGACAAATCAAAACATCCCTTTGTTCTTTCCTCATAATCCAGGCGGTTAATGAAGGGAATGTTTAATACTGACACTGGCTGTGTGATGATAGTGTAGGCAGGGGGCACTGGGTGGCCTTAACAGTTAACCCATATAGCTCTAGAAAGCTCTTTAGCCCATAGCTTATTCTCTGGGCAACATTTTGCCAGAATGACTCATTAATTAATTCAAATGCTAGTGTGTATTTGCTTTCAACACCACTCATCCCGAAATCCTAATTTACAGTAAAGAGAATTGAGAATAAATAATAGTCACATGCACAGACACACACAAAGGACTCTGGTGTAGTTTAACTAACACACTCAGGGGAAAGTCAAAGAAAATAACCTGAAAGAAACAAAAGCAGATCTCTCCTCACCAGAACCAGTTCTTCCAACAATCCCAACAGTCTGCCCACTCTGGATGTTCAAGTTCAGCCCATTGAGAACCAGGGGAGTGTTGGCTCTGTATCTCATCCGGTAGTCTTTGAACGTTATCTCCCCACGGCTTGGCCAATCCTTAGGACAGGACCCCTCTCTGAGGGGATGAGTGTGTTCAGGAACACAGGTCTGAAAGGTAGAATAACCAATGTTGGAATAATAACCACTTGATATTCCATTTATTTAAATGGTTTCTATTTGTATATTCATGCATTCACATGGGTCTCAAGATTGAGGTTCATGGTGGTCAACTATACCAATAAAAACCCTGCAATCAAGAAACTCACATTGCAATGGGAATGTCCAATGATAAGCAAGGAAATATGACAACGTGGCCCATGATAGAATATGGACTGTGACTTGTGTGGCAGGCAGGACAAGTGTAATACAAGTACTTGAGAGTTAAGGAAGGCATCTACAACGATGTGACATAGGGCCAAGATGTCAAATACTGAGAAGCTGCTGATGACAGAGATTTTGAGTCTAGATCCCTCCACACAGGGAAGAAAGATAGTGTCAAGGGTCCTGGGGCGAAAATGAGCTTTGACAGTTTGAGAAATACAAAGTCAAGTGGCTAAAGCTTAGTGAACAAAGAATAGTGACTGGATTCAACAAGGGACAGGTCATTCTGGGCAGGCAAGTGTTAGCAAGCAGTGTGACCTTGAGGTTGTATGGCGAAACCAGAGACTTGAAATCTGCAGATTCCAATACTACATTATTTCAATATCTACTAAAGTCACCAAAGTAGTACAAGTAGAAAGATTATAAGAATGCAAGATATCAAATTCAATGGGAACTCAATGGGAAAGGCATCTTCAAGAAATTAAAAATCTGGCAGGCAGCTGGGTGCCTGTGGTTCATGCTTGTAATGCTGGCTACTCAGGAGGCTGAGATCAGTGGATCATGATTTGAAGCCAATCCAAGCAGGAAAGTCCATGAAACTCTTATCTCCAATTAAACACCAAAAAGAAATGGTGCTATGGTGGCTCAAGTGGTAGAGTACTAGCCTTGAACACAAAAGCACAGGCCCTAAGTTTAAGCCCCAGGACTAGCATACACACAAGCACAAAAAAATAATCTACCACACCTGTTATTCTAGCTACTCAGAAGACTGAGATCTGAGGATCACAATTTGAAGCCAGCTAGGCAAAGAAAAGTCCATAAGACTCTTATCTCCAATTAACCAGTAAAGAGCAGGAAGAGGAAGTGTATTTCAAGTGGTAGAGTGCCAACCTTGAGCGGAAAAAAAATGAGAGTTCTAGGTCCTAAATTCAAGCCCTAGAAAGATAGAAAGAAAGACAGGAAGGAAGGAATGAAGGAAGGAAGGAAGGAGGGAAGGAGGGAAGGAAGGAAGGAAAGAAGGAAAGAAAGAAAGAAGGAAGGAAAGAAGGAAAGAAAGAAAGGAAGGAAGGAAGGAAGGAAGGAAGAGGGAGAGACAGAGGGAAGGAAGGAAGGAAGGAAGGAACTCAAAGCCTAAGAGCAACCTGGCAACATTATTACCTTCTGAATGCCTATTAACAGCTAGAAATAGAAGTATCATGAGCCCCAGCCCAAATATCAGGTCTTTAAGCAACTTCAGTTAGCTGAGAAAATAATTACACTCAGAGTAATTTAACCACTAGAAGATTTAAAATTAAGAATTAAAATATTGAAGAGAGCATTGTCAAAGCTCATAGAATTCACAAACATTATAAACCATGATAATGACAATTTGCCTTGTGAAGATTAAAATGTGTTTGTAACTTTAAGTATCACTATCTCACAATACTGTGAAATTTATGTAATCACTTAACCTCAATAAAAATGTATAAAAAATATTTAAGAGAGGCAATGCTGTAACAGCAATAGTTTTAATGTGAGGAATCTGCACACTTCAAGCATTTATAATATTTTAGAATTTAGGCTTATGATTCTACTTTAAAATGTGTAATTGAATAATTGATTTAAACAAGATTTTAAGTTAAAAGCTTACTGGTTATGTACTACGGTGGAACTATCATGAGAACTTAGAGCTCACTATATTTACAAGTTTAATTTATTAGACTTACATAAACTCAATAAGTTTTGTTTGTTAAATGAGATCATTGAGGTACTTAAAAAGGAAATTGAATGTATTAAAATTTAAAACATCATTTAAAATGTTTTAAAGTGTTTAAGTTTGTAAGCGGGGCCAAACACTATCCAAAGGCCCTTAAAAGTGATGGCTGGGTTTTTGAAACAGTAGCAGCATTTCTAAGTTAAACAGAAAAGCTTTTAAGGAAAAGTTGCATTGTTTTTGTTTTCCAATTTACAACTTTGATCAAATATGAATTTGTATAGAACAAAGGAAGCCACCAATTTTTTTCTTGCTATAGAAACTATAGGTAAAGGATTTTTATTCTTTAAGGGAAAAACGTCAACTTAACTTCAAGAATTTTAGATGAGGCTGGCGCATGGCTCAAGTGGCAGAGCGTGTGTGTGTGTGTGTATGTATGTGTGTGTGTGTGTGTGTGTGTGTGTGTGTGTGTGTGTGTGTGTGTACCAGTATTGGGGCTTGAAATTAGGACCTTGCTCTCACTTGGCTTTTTTGCTCAAGGCTTGTACTCTACCACTTGAGCCAGAACTCCACTTCCAGATTTTTACTCATTAATTGGAGAAGAGTCTCACAGACTTTCCTGTCTAGGCTGGCTTTAAAGTGCAAATTGCAGATCACAGTCTTCTCAGTAGCTAGGATTACAGGCATGAGCCACAGGTGCTCAGCATAGTAGAGCGCCTTTCTAGTAAGTATAACGTGCTGAATTCAAACTCTGGTATCTTGAGTGGTAAGCTTTTTAAGAGGAGAGATGCCTGGTCAGATTTGGGTTTTGGGGGGGGGGGTTGTTTTATGTTTTGCTTTTTAAAGATCCCCTTCCAGTACTTGCTTAAGCCAAGCTGAGAGAACATGTCTTCATCTCTCAGAAATTCATTTCTTACCAAAATATACTCCCTTAACTGTTCCACAGAGGTGAACTTGGCCTGGGTCTCAGTTCCTGTGCGCACACACACCTGGAGCAGTCCACTGAGCTGGAGGGAGGAACAGGCCAGGTTAGAGCCCTATCCTTCCGGCTCTGCTGTCCACCTACCCAGGCCAGCCAGTGAATCCCACTCTCCTGCCTTACCAGCCAGGCACTAGAATGGAAGATGCTCCTGTTGGGTTAAACATTGCCTTTGTATTTGGGAACAAAGGATGTTCCTTGACACTCCAGGGAGTGAGGATCACCCACCACCAAACCATTTGACCACCCCCTCTTTGAGCCTATGGCTGTCAAGTAGGTTTTTCCTTTGAGACTCAACTTCTGGGATGATCTTGCTACTCCCTAATGAAGTCCTACACCCCAACCACCTCCTGCTCTGCTCCACCTCACCCAGAGCTGAGAAATGACTAAAACCCCAATCACTACAAGAAGTCACAGAGCCATGAAGTCTACCTGCTTGCATTAGAAAAATGAAGACTCAGACTGGGGTAGGCAGCTTGCTAATGACCTATTTTGGGCTTGGATCTTCCAGAAGCCAGCCCCAAGTTTGAGTGCCATGGAGACATTGGGGCAGATTGAATGAAGTCCCTTGCCCTGTGGTACTAGTATGTCCACACTAAAACCCTGGTGCCTAAGAAGTTTACCTCACTGAGAAAAATAATCTCTATACTTGGCTTTAGGATCTTGAGGTTATCTTGGATGACCTGCATGGGCTCTTGTTCAATGACAGGCACTTTAACAAGAAGCACAGATGGGACACTAGGCATGAATAGCTTATGCCTGTTGTGCCAGCTACTCAGAAGGGTGAGATCTGGAGGATCTGAGGCGGGGATTTGAGCCTCAGCGTTAACCAAACTAACACAGGAGGTGAGCCCAGAAAGGACAGAAGACATGAGAGAAGCTGCCAACTCAGGATGAATTCAGGAGATTCTGTCTCTTTGGGGAACTCTGTGAGGCCATTAGGGCAACACCCAGAGTTTTCCCCAGCCAGGGTAACATAGCCTCTGGTACCCAGGAGATTGGGTCTATAACATGCAATACCACTACATAACCCAACCCCTCAGATGCTAAATACCCTTACATGAATGGCAAACTCCTTGCATACCTTGCATATGCATATGTAATTCTGTATATAACACATATTATGTATATTTGAACGTTAGGCAAATAGTTGTTGCACCGTGCTTGGAGAATAACTACCAGAACAAAAGTTGACATGTTCAGTACAGAAGCAACTGTTTTTCCTGAGTATTTTCAACCCACAGTTGATTGAATCTACAGTCAGTCACTCCCTCAGGTGTTGCTGGGGCTGTTCCTAGGTGTGAGAGCCCCTCCCCCATACCTCCAGCCAGTCCTGGATGTGGAATAATCTTGAGGGCCAGCTGGCCTATGCTGGAAGGGAGGGGAATCTCCAGCATCACCCTTGATGGACTAGGGACAGGACGGTCTCACTCACTACACTCTTCCTGGGCAGGGGTGATGAGCCAGGTACTGGTTGGGCAGTTTTGTTTTTTTGTGCCAGGACTGAGGCTTGAAATTAGGGCCTTTTGTTCTCACTTGCCTGGCACTCTACCATTTGAGCCATACCTCTACTTCCAGCTTTTTGCTGGTTAACTGGAGATACCTGTCTAACAGATTTTTCTTTCCAGGTTGGCTTCAAACTGTGATCCTTAGATCTTAGCCTCCAGAGTTGCTACAATTGTAGGCATGAGCCATTGGTGCCCAGCTTGCACACTGTTTTTCTGAGTTTGACCCCATAGACTTATAAGGGTCCCATTCTAATGGACTGGCAGAATGATACTCAAAGAAACTTCAGGAATGATCAGACAGGTCAACAGGGAAGCGTGGCTAAGGCATGGGGTCAGGGTTTATCTTGAAGGGAGTGGTTGGGAAGACAGAATGAGCTGAGGCATTTATGATCATTCTTTCTCCTACCAGCCAAGCTCCAGAAAGCAGCAAGTGGCCTCACACACAAGAGGCCATGGGTTCTAATGGTGTGTGAGGTGCTTGTGGAGCAGCTCACAGCTGACGACCCTGTGCTCTTCCCAGCAGGCCTCCCTCACACCTCCAATTTAACATGGGCCAGGGCTTTCCAGTGCCCTTAGAGCAATAGCATTTGGCAGCATCTGCAGACATCTTCAAAGATGACCACCTAGGCTATCTCACGGGTACAGGCCAGGGAGGCTGCTACCATCAAAGTGTACCCAGGATAGCTCATCAAAAAAAGACTATGCAGCCCAAATATGCTTTAAGCGGTCAGTATCCTGCCCCTGACTTAATAAGGCTGCATGAATTCTATCCCCAGCCACAAGAAACATGGATTTCTCAGACCCTCATCTTACACCAAGCTCAGACTTACCCTCTGCATCAAGAATCCTTCCTCCTAAATGGGAGCCAGGGTCTCATACCTGTAATTCCAGCTAATAAGGAGCTTGAGATCTGAGAATCATAATCCAAAACCAGCCAACCAGGAAAGACCATGAACCACTTAGTTCCATTAACCACCAAAAAGCAGGAAGTGGGGCTGTGGCTCTAGTGGAAGAGTGTTAGCCTTGAATGAAAAAGCTAAGGGACAGTGCCCAGGCCCTGAATTCAAGACCCAGTATCATCAAAATAATAATAATAATAATAATTCTTTACCCTTCTTCCTTGGATGAGTGAGTATCATTTGGGAATCTCAGCTTGGAAGTCACCTCCCAGCAGAGGCCTCTTCTGATTGTTGGATGTAATATTGCTTCCCCCAGCCCCCGTGAATCACATTCCCTACTTTATTAACTTCATATAACTTAAAGGTTTTCTGAAAGATTTCCACAGGACATGGTCAGAGAGTTCACTGCCAAATCTCAGCAACCAGCACAGCTCCTGGTTCAGCCTGCTGCTTAGTAGCTTCTGGTGTCTGAGAACATGAGTCTGGATCCGGAATTGGGTATCTTTATGATCTAGTTTGGGGTGTGTGTGTGTGTGTGTGTGTGTGTGTGTGTGTGTGATTCCTGGGTCTTGAGTTCAGGGTCTGAATGATGTTCTTTAGTGTTTTTGCTCAAGGCTGGCCCTCTATCTCTTGAGCCACACCTCCACATTTGACTTTTTACTGATTAACTGGAGTTTGGAGTCTTACAGACTTTCCTGCCTGGGTTAACTTCGAACCTTATAACTCATCTTTCTGAGTAGTTAGGATGACAGGCATGAGCTTCTAGCACCCTGCAACAATATGTTCTGTTAGGTAAATGAGTAACTGCTCTCTATACATCCAGGGTACCCATCCAGGCCTGGAATCCCCACATGAGTAGGCTAAGCACTGGCCCCAGCAAGTGCTTATTCTAAGTTAAAGTACTGGTGCTGTGTACACAGTTTCTGCCCTGTGGAGCTCAGTGCCTGATTCTCACCCATCCAGGGACTTCCCTCTGTTCTCAAATGATGCTCTCATTTGATTCTCTGTTTTCCAAGTGGGGCTAATGCCAAAAAAAAGCCACAAAGCCAGCTGGAGAAGAAGTGTTCCCTGAGACCTCAAAGTGTGCAAACCCTGCTTCAATCTGACAGGAGTGCTGGACAACAATCTCATAGAAAGCCAACAATATCTATAGTGGAGAAGCATGACTGTCATTGGGGCAAGCTGTTTTTCTTGGACCAACTAAGGGAAACCATTCAAAGTCATCTGGTATTTTACTAGACAACAACAAAAGATGACATTCATCCATGAGGAAAACTAGCTACCCAAAGAAAATTCCTTTTTCTTACCTCAGAGTACTGAGAATGTATTTTTGTTCCTCTTTCTGACAAAAAAGATAATTAAAACAATAACAGAGAAGTTTCAGAAAGAATTGATCTTTGATCATCAAGGGTGTCAGGAAGAGTTATGATCACATGGAAGAGTTACAGAATTCTTGAAGATAGTGAGGATGATAGACTTTTGATAAATGGAAGCGGGAAATGCTATAAAAGTTCAGACAACCTTCAGCTTATCAGAGTCTGGAGAAAAATCCAGGACTGGGAAAGGGGTCTACAAGGAAGCTGGGCAATCCATAATCATTCTATAGACAGTTGCTCCTGGCAGGCAAGTTTATTCTATCCTCTTCTTTCTCTTAACTGGAAGTAGTTAAATACATTTTTCCCTAGGCACAGAAGTGAATACACATACACACACACACACACACACACACACACACACACACACACACACACAATGTTTTCTAAAGAAACTGAGTTAAAGTAAAAATGATGAACTTTTTCTTTTTTTTCTTTTTTTTGATATCTTTTTATATTTCTTCTTTTGGGGAAACATCTATTCATATCATTTGCCTATTTCTAATTGATTATTTTTGTTATTAAGCTTTTAATTTCCTTATATATTCTGAACACCAGTGATTTGTCAGATAGTTTGCAGATATTTTCTCTTTATAAATTGTGGGTTTACTCTATTAATTGTTTTCCTTCTCTCGTTTTTAGTTTCATGTAATTCCATGTGTCTTTTTTCTTTTGCTACCTATGCTCTTGTATCTTCTCAAAAACATCATTTGCCTATTTTAAAAAAAGAAAGAGAGAGAGAGAAAGGAAGGAAGGAAGAGAGAAAGAAAGAAAGAAAGAAAGAAAGAAAGAAAGAAAGAAAGAAAGAAAGAAAGAAAGGAAGGAAGGAAGGAAGGAAGGAAGGAAGGAAATTGAAAAAAGGAAAGGAAGAAACAAACAATCAAACTAAGTTAGCTACCTGGGAACAAGTAGTTCTCAAAGCACAATATCCTAAACAAAAATTTGTCTTAATTTCAGCATTGCTAGGGCCAAAGGCTAGCTTTACCCAAAGTGAAGCCAGTCTGTAAAAAGACCCCAGTGCTCATTACACTTATGGCTAGAAAACCTCTTATCAGGACAGACAGGGAAAGGCATATACAAAGGAGATGAAACCCTGAAAATCCAAACCAGCCTTCTCTTCATACAAGCAGAGGAAGAGCCTGACAAGCAAATCCAGTGACACGGTAAGAACTGGATAAACAGAAAAAAAAAAGACAACCAGGAAACAAAAAAAAAGCCGGGGGTTGAGGGGGCAGGGGGACAACTTGCATTAATATCCTCAGATAACATTTTTAAACTATTTTACCCATTAAAAGTGATTCACATTCAGGAGGCTGAGAGCTGGGGATCATAGTTTCAGCCCAGGCAGGAAATTCCATGAGAATCTTATGTCCAATAAATTACTCAGAAAACACTGGAAATGGTGCTGTGGCTCAAGTGGTAAAATACTAGCCTTGACCACAAAGATGCTCAGGTACAGCACCCAGGCCCTAAATCAAGCCCCAGAATTGGGGAAAAAAGTGATTTGCACCTTGTGGTTGTATAGTTGTTGATATATTTATATTACAGATGGAAGGCATTTTTGCCCACTCTACTTTTATTCTTTTGTTTTTTATGAACAGAAATAATTTTCTATTTGTCTTATTTGACTTTTTAAAATCAAATGTTTTATTATTAGGAAGAAGAAGCTATACTTCTTATGAGACTACACTGATCCCTACTTTCTAAAGTATTCTGTACCTTAGTAAGACAGGAGGTTAATAGATATGTGTTAAGGTATCAGTATATTCCTTTTCCTTTGGTATAACTTTTCAATTTGTTAATATGTAATGACAGTATTATTTTGTTTTTATTATTCTACTAGTAAATTGTTCTTCTGAAAACCATTTGGAAATGTAAACTGATATAATATGAAAGTGATTTTTTTTTGCTTGGTGCCACTGGCTCATGCTTATAATCACCACTTACACCACTTGAACTCTGGTTCAAGTGGTAGAGCCCCAGCTCTGAGCAAAAGAGCTAAGGGACAGAGCCCAAGCCTTGAGTTTACCTCAGAAAACACACACACACACACACACACACACACACACACACACACACACACACAGAGGTTCTTTTCTGGATACTGGTAGCTCATGGTTGTAATCCTACTCAGGAGGCTCAGATCAGAGGATCAAGGTTCAAAGCCAAGCCAGCTCAGGCAGGAAAATCTGTGAGGCTCTTATCTTCAATTCGCCACCAAAATCCAGAAGTGGATCTGTCGCTTAAGTGATAGAGCACTAGACTTGAGCAAAAAAGCTAAGGGACAGCGCCTTGGGTTCAAAACTCAGTACTGGCACAAAAACAAAACAAAAAGATAGAGGAATATGAGCTTATGGAAATGTGATTGCCAAACTTAAAATTCAAAAGAGTGACTGGATGACAGAATAAAGACAAAAGACAAGAAAATAGAAACTGAGATAAAAGATACATTGAACATAAAGGCAATAAACTCCACACGCAAAAAAGGAAAAAAAAACAGAACAGGGGAAATTTGAATTCCATATAAAGGAATCCACAGCATCTAGCAAATTACATTAAAAACAGCCAACCTCAGATAACTTGTCCAGTAATTTCAAAGCTCCAAGGATAAGTACAATTTGTAAATTTCCCAAAGAGATGAAGCATATATTAAAGGACAAGATTCCAACTAGCTCTGGGTTCAAATCACAGAAAGGTAAGCTTGGGCAAATCTTCTTGTGAGGGTTTTCACATGTGCAAAATAGACCTTTGGACATTGTCACAGAGTTGTTGCTGGTGAGCAAATGGATTAACTTAGATGAAGGATAGAACCTAAGGCACAGTAAATGTCATATGTTCATCACTTATTGTATTATTCAGGAAACAAAAGCAAGCCAGGTGCATGCCAATGTCTCATACCTGTAACACTAGCTACTCAAGAGGCTGAGATCAGAGAATAGTGATTCTAAGCCAGCCTAGGCAGAAAATTCCACTAGACTGTATCTGCAATGAACCAGTAAATCGCTGAGCTGGAAATGTGGCTTAAGTGGTAGAATGATAGTCATAACCAGGAAAGCTAAACATTCACCAGGCCCCTGAGCTCAAACTCCAAAACCAGAAAAAAATAAAAATTGAGTGAAGCCTAGGCTCTTGGCTATGGCAGGCAGTGTTTTCACCCCGCTACAAGCTTCAGAGATTATTGGCCACTATTGCAAGTGATAATGGAAACCATCACAGAAGGGCTAAGTCAAGAGCCATGATCCAGTTATACCTTAAGCCCACACCTATTGAAAATCTTAATGCTGTGAGCCACTAAATTTCCTTTATTTAAACACATTGAGCTGCATTTTCTGTTGCTTCTATCCAAAACCACCCTCCCCGATATATGCCAGCATCTTTCAAACCAAGCCCAACCTTGTGCCAGGTATTACCTGGATAATGTAAGACAATGACAAGCCTTTGGATGAAGCACTGATGGAGGAAAAACTCAGAGTCACCAACAAGGACACAACGAAGGTGACGATATTCATGAGCACGTCCATCCTTAGAGCAAACCACCTGAGAGCACAGTTGAAGTAGAGGAGGTGGCTGGAATTTTCATCATTTAGCATCTTAAACCTAAATGGGGAAATATCAGACAAAACAAGAGGTCAGGTAGGGCCTCATAGAGCTACTAGGAAAGTCAAGGGAAACACTAATTTGGAGAATCCCCTCTTAATGGTAACTCTTATGAACTCTTATCCTCCTTCTATCTTGCACTTATTTTGAGAAGTCCTGTGTGGCATTTGAGAGCTAAGTGGGCTCTTTCTCTCTTTCCCTCAACTGGCAACAAGAACCCACAGCCTCCCTCCAAAGACCGTTTGGAACCTTTAATTGGCCCCTTGATCTATAAACAGAGTAGAGTTGACTGAGAGTGTGGCTCAAGTGGTAGAAGGCCTGTCTAACAAATTCAAAGCCCTGAGTTTAATTCACAGTACTACCAAAGTGGAGGAAATGCTTCAAAAGAGGATTTTTTTTAAAGAGTAGATCTGGGTACTGGATCATGCCTGTAATCCTAGTTACTCAAGACTTTAGATCTAAGGATCTCAGTTCAAAGCCAGTCTGAGCAAGAAAGTCCATGAGAATCTTATCTCTAATTAATCACCAAAAAGCCAGAAGTGGGAGCTGTAGCTCAAGTGGTAGAGTGCCATCCTTGAGCAAAACAAGCTCAGAGACAGCACCCAGTCCCTGAGTTCAAGCACCAGGACTAACAGAAAAACAAACAAAAACAAAACACAACAGGAAAGTGGGTTGTGGAGGATGAGGTCACCTTTGGTGAGCACTATTGTGTATGACAGCAGAGAAAAAAATTAGAGTATCTGCCTGGGTCCCCTCTCCACCTCAGAGATCAATGCTATTGCTTAGAATGCTAAGAATCTTTCCAAGGAGAAAAAGCTGATGTCTGCTGTCCCTGCCACATAGCTTCTGACCCAAGGGGGTTGCTGAAGGAGAAAGAGCACAGGGCAGAATGACAGGTGGCACAGCTAGGGGGGGCAGAGCAAGACCGCCCCAGAGGGTCTCCTTCCCAAAGGGAGCCTCCTGCCAGTTCTCAAAGTGGAGAGCTGGGAGCACATCTGCGCTGCAGCTGGGTTGGAAGACTCCTCTGAGGCAGAGACCTCCACCTCTGAGGAATGCAGTAGGATGCAGCAGGACAGAAATGCCTGGAAGAACCAGAAAATCTGGCAAAACTCAGAAGCAACACCTAGCAGAACTGCTTGGGATCAAGTCCCGTTAGGGCCTCCACCCTACCATTCCACGTCTGTGCAGTGAGATAGGTCATCAGGAAGGAGCAACAGAAAGGAGAGAACAGCCCAGAGGTGGGTAGTCACCTGAAAACAGTCTCCTCTCAAAGGCTCCTGCACTAGCTTCAGCAATAAAGAAAGGATGTTTAAAGGAAAAGATTGACAGCTGCTCCCTGATTTCAAACTGTGCCTCTGGGAGGAAAGAGAGCTGAGACTTAAGTTTACCCAAGACTGAAATGTTAACCAAACTGAGCTAGCCACAAGAGATATCAGTTTCCAACAGCCACTGAAAACGCCAACCTAATGGGAGGAGCATCATCAGAACACTTGGTGGAATTGTCAGGAAGAAAATGAAAGCTGTTCTAAGGGCAGCCCCTAAGGAGCCACAACTCCTCCACTGCCCAGCCGTGAGTGTCCTCCAGCTCTGCAGCTCCACTCTGGCCTCAAAGTCCTCCAAGGAATCTGGAAGCACCCCTGATCAGCTGACTTGGACTCTGCCATACCTCCTCCTTACAACTCTAACTTCTTTTTCTCACTCAGTCAAAATATCATTCCAAGTATCAGAACACCATGAGGTGCCTGTTTGTTTGGTGGCAAATGCAATACATACCAGGAAATCCTAAAGTCACATAGGACTCGGCTTCCTCTGGTATTCACTTAGACACGTTGGAAGAGAAGCTTCAGGAAAACAAAGCGTGGATTTGTTTGTCTTCACTCGAAATCAGGACATTGGAAGGGGCTAAGCATGGTACAGGACTCTTGAGGAGTCTTGATAAGTAACATCAAGAGACAAACTCCATAAGGCCCTGGATGCCTGCTCCATCAATGGAAAGAGCCAAGGGTGATGCATGTACAAGCCAGCAAGCAATGATCAGGAACCCAAGGGAGAAAATACAGAAGCAGCCCCATACTATAAAACCCACCCTTGAGAGGATTCTCTTGGAGTCCTCTGTGGGACCCCTCTCTCTCGGGAGAGTGCCCCTACTCTCCTTTTGTGGCTTTCCTTTCAGTTTCTTACTTGCTCTGTCTGCTAAAAATTAAAAATTAAAAAAAAATTACTTTGGCATCAGGTCAGACTAGTACCTAGACTAGCTGCTGATTCAAAGACAAGTTTTGAGGTCAAGTCTACTTTGTGATACTGGCTGGCAAAGCAGAGAGTTGGTGAGAAAGAATTAAATACAAGTACTGATATGTGTTAGCTCTCTCTCTCTCTCTCTCTCTCTCTCTCTCTCTTTCCCTCTTTCTCTCTTTCTTTTTTCTTAGACAGCATTTCACTATGTAGTCCACACTGGCCTCAAACTCATGATTCTTCTGCCTCAGCCTCCTGAGTACTAAGATTACAAGTATGTGCCACCACTCCCAATATGAGTTGGTGTGTGTGTGTGTGTGTGTGTGTGTGTGTGTGTGTGTGTGTGATCTAGGGTTTGAACTCAGGGTTTGGGCACTGTTCCTGAACTTTTTTGCTAGGCTAGTATGTTACCACTTTAACCACAGCTCTACTTCCAGCTTTTTGGTGGTTATATGAAGGTACAAGTCTCATGGACCTTCTTGCCCAGGCTGGTTTCAAACTGTGATCCTTAGATCTCAGCCTCCTGAAAAACTAGGATTAGATGCATGAGCCACCATTGCCTGGCCATATTAGCTTTTTTTTTTTTTGTCCTGAAGCTTGAATTCAAAGACTGGGTGCTGTCCCTGAGCTTTTCACCCCCAAGTGCTAGAGCTCTATCACTTGAACCACATCACCCTTCTGGATTCTTTAGTAGCTAATTTAAATAAGAATCTCATGGACTTTATTGCTCATGCTGACTTCGAATAGAGATCCTCAGATCTCAACCTCCTTAGTAGCTAGCATTGCAGGTATGAGCCACTGGATTAGCTGGGTTTTTTGTTTTTTGGATTTTTTGCTGGTCCTAGGCCTTGAACTCTGGTCATGGGCATTATCCCTGAGCTTCTGGGCTCAAGGCTAGTACTCTACCACTTAAGCCACAGCTCTACTTCTGGATTTTTGTGGTTAATTGGAGGTAAGAGTCTCACAGACTTTTCTGCCCCAGCTCCCTTTAAATCACAATTCTCAGATTGCAGCCTCCTGAGTAGCTAGGATTAAAGATGTGGTATAGCTTTTTAAGTAAGGAAGAGATCTAAGGGAAAGCAATAGAGGGAATGAGTACAATTGATTGGAACATACCGTAAACATGAAATGTAACCATGAAATCCTCCTCTATATAACTAATGTAAGCTCATTTTCAAAATAGAACAGCACTGTTCCATTTATTAAGTGGCTCATCCTATAATCTTAGCTATTCAAGAGGCTGAGATCTTAAAACTGCAGTTCTAAGACAGTCTGGACAGCAAAGACCATGAGACTTATCTCCAGTTAACCAGTCAAAAACTAGAAGTGGAACTGTGGCTCAAGTGGTAGAGTGCCAACTTTAAGTGGGAAAAAGGCCAAGCAAGACCATAAGTCCCTAGGTTCAAGCCCTAGTACCAGTACAACAAAAATAAAATAAAATGAAATAAAAGTAGATGTGGCAGATACTTTCCATAGATGCATCAAACTCTATTTTCATTCTCTCCTTTGGACAAAACTGGACTATAGTCACCAGTACTTATGCATCTGGGTGAGTTTATGTTCCTTAAGTCTGGCCAATGAGCATACAGAAATGATGTGTATCTTTTCATGGCTAGAGTTGAGCAATGTAAATTTCCCAAGGGGTTCACCATGTTTCTCTCTCCCCTTCTCTCTCATTATCCTTTGGGATGGAAAAGCTCCAGATGGAAAGAAATTGTCTAAATTTGGAGAATTCTCTTTCCTTGCCCCAGAGACCTTCATCAGATTTTAACTTGATTGTGAACACAAACTGTAACACAGTTTTTGTGTTAAGATCCCCAGATGTACATGAATAACAACAACAGAAAAATGTTGGCAGTGATGTGGGAAAAGAAGAACCCAACATTGTTAGTGGGAATGTAAACTAGTGTAAAGTAATGTAGTTTACTGATGTAAACTACTAATGTTTTCTAGTATAAACATTATGGAAGCCAGTTTGGAGATACCTCAAAAAACTCAACATAGAAGTACTCTATGTCCAACAATACTACTATTCATCCATAATATTACAAGTCATGATACAGTAAGGACATTCATCATAACTACACTTTACCATAGCCAACTTATTTTTTTAATGCCCTACAATGGATGAATGAATTTTTTTAATGTGGAATATACAATGGAATTTTTCAATGAAATTTTATTTATCTATCTGAAAAAACCCACACCATTTCCAGGGAAATTATGTATAAAATCATGTTAAAAAAAGTACTTCAGGCTCAGGCACATTTTTTCTCATATGTGGAGAATAGATATAAATTATAAATATATGTGAAACATATGCAGGGTCATATACATATATACACACAAATTGACTATGGTAGACTCAGGGAGGATTCCAATGGTGTAACTCCTCAGAACAACTAACCAATCATTTAATAAAATGAATACCAGAAAACTGAAACATATTTTGTCAGTTGACTGAGGGGGTTGTCAAGCAGATGGAGGGTAGATAAATGAAGAGAACAATTTTTAAAAAGATCTAAAAGATGCCCAGATGTAGGGCTTTTTTTCTGTTTGTTTTGTTTTTACTACAGTGGGCCTATTGTGTTTGATACATTCTTCCTGCATAGTTTAGAAGTTTGGAGCTGGAAGATTTCAGAGAATTTACTAGCATATCTAGTCCCCTGTATTTAACGAGAAGAAAATTGGTTTATTTGCTAAGTAAAATAAAACAGTAACAATGAAAATCATTTCTACAAAAAATAAATACTAACACAAAATTTTTTTAAATAAGTAATCTTTACAAGGAAACAAGTACTCAAAAGAGGGGAGTTATCAAAGAGAGGGACAGACAAATAAAGAAAGGAAGGGAGGGGGAATGCAGTCATAAAAATTCAATGCATATTCTATGAAATGAAGAAAACCTCATGAGGAAAGGAATGGAGTTGGAAGGGAAAGGGGGAAATGATGGAAGCAGTGACATTGAGATTCATCTTATTCATATACTACTTTGTTGAATGGCAATGCCTTTGTACAATTAAAGATGAAAATAAAATTAAAATAAATAAATATTTTTTAAAATTAAAAAAACATTGTAAATCCTTAAAAAAAGAAAGTCTTATGAACCAGAAAACAGGAAAAGATTGGGGAAAAAACCCATAGGTTGAATAAGACTTATCTGATTACTTGAGACCAAAAATGTTTCAGATTTTGTTTTTAGACTGTCAAATATTTATATATGTAGAATGAGACATTTGAAACTGAGACCCACATCTAAACATAAAGTTCTAGAATGTTTCATTTATACCATATCCACATATCCTGTAGATGATTTTTATACAGTATATTATTTGTTCATGTGTTTAGACTGTAGCCCATCACTTAGACATCATAACAAAAAGTTTTAGATTTGGGAGTCATTCAGATTTCAGATTGTGTGTGTGAGCTTGAACTAAAGGCCTACACATTATCCTTTAGCTTTTTCACTAAAGATTGGTGTTCTACTACTTGAGACACAGCTCCACTTCTGGCTTTTTAGCATTAATTGGGTTTCACAAACCTGCCTGATCTAGCTGGCTTCAAAACTCAATCCTCAAATCTGTCTCTCAAGTAAGTAGGATTATAGATATGAGCCACCCGCTCCTAGTAAGATTCCAGATTTCTGAATTAGGAATCCAACATGTATATGAAAACATAAACAGTGTTAGAGTTGAAGCCTGAGTAAGTAATGTTCTTCTTTTTGTATCCTCTCCTATTTTTCTGAATTGAGCACAATTTTCTCTTTTAGAGTAAAAACAAAAAAGAAAATATTAAGTCATAAGCAAAGCCATCACTGAGTGAGCTTTCTCTACTATTTCACATCTTTGAAGGCTCCAGATGCTGGGAATAGAGCCAAGTGTCTTAGTATGCTGGACCTAATTATGCTAGTCCTTAGCCCATGGGCTACCCCAGCAGCCCAGAACTGTCCACTGAGGGCCAGATAAGTCTACAACCTCCCACTCAGGGCCAATCATGAGGCAGAGAGAGCTTGGTGCAGAGATCCATCCCATGACTCACTTATTGATGCAGTCCTCTGTTTTGTTGTAGGCATGAATGACGCCAAGGCCCTGCATGGAAGAGGTGATGTGGGAGAACCAGGGTGACCGGCTGATGTTCTCCACCTGCTTCAGCTCCTGCACTCCTCGGTGGAAAATACTGCAAGGAAAACAAGAGGGTCAAGAGGACCAGAGTAAGATCTCAGCAAACTCACCCTCTGCACAGAGAGCTCTGGCCACTCCCCAGATAGGTAATTCCAAGATGATGACATCTAAGGGAGAGCGTATGTGGCTGTGTCACTGCTCCACAGGATGGATGTCCTGTCCTATTGTTGAGAGGTAGTTACAGTTAATCTGCTTTCAGACTCCAGTGTGTCTTATAACAGAAATGCTATAGCATTTGTAGTCTTTGTAAACCAGAAATGTTGGTCCACAGCATCTCCTGAGTATATGCTAATATGTTTTGCTGCCCAACGAGGGGAAGAGAGATTTATGCTAACCAAGAGGGAATCCTGCTAGTCAACTGCCAGCATTTAGCTTTCTAAAGTCCTTCTCTTTCCCTTTCCCTTTCCCTTTCCCTTTCCCTTTCCCTCCCCTCCCCTCCCCTCTCCTCCCCTCCCCTCCCCTCCCCTCCCTTTCCCTTCCCTTTCTGCTTGAACTCAGGGCCTGGGTGTTATCCCTGAGCTTTTTCCACTCAAAACTAGCACTCTACTACTTGAGTCCACTCTACTTCTGCTTTTTGGTGATTAATCAGAATCTTTCAGATTTTCCTACCCTGACTGACTTTAAACAGATTCTCAAATCTCAGCTTCCTGATTGGCATGAGCCACCAGTGCCAGCAAGGCCTTTATTTGCAAAGGTAATTTTGAGCAAATATCATAATAGCCCCAGACTTTAACACCAAACCCTCAGCTGAGCACCCGTGGATCACACCTGTAATCCTAGCTTCTCAGAAAACTGAACTCTGAGGATTGCAGTTCAAAGCTAGCCCAGGCAGGAAAGTCTGAGACTCTTATCTCCAATTAGCCACCATAAAAGCTAGAAGTAGAGCTGTGGCTCAAGTGGTAGAGTGCTGCCTTGAGAAAGAAAAAATAAAACTTCAGAGACAGCACCAAGGCTCTGAGTTGAAGCCCCAGGACTGGCACACAAACAAAACAAAATCCCTCAAGATGTGGTCTTCCCATGTGGAAGCCCATGATCCCTGACACGCAAGAGACCAGTGGTCTCAGCATGCACATTAGCTGGCTACCAGAAGAGAATCTATTGTTTCTTCCAGGTTCAGGGCTAAAACTAACCCAAAGGAGTGAGGGGAGATAGGGACCTCACTAGCTCAGAGCTTAGGTATATTAGTTGGAAAGATTTGGATAATTCAGCCAGAACCAAATCTGGTTTTTCCTATCTTTATAGGAAAAGAGTAGTGCACAGGCAGAGAAATAAAAGCTTTGACTAAATCAATTAACAGCATAAATGGGGGAACAGATGCAAACAAATGCCTGGCATACTGTCATCCACCATGTGCCTTCTCTTTGTAAAGGTCTTTCAGAAATTATTTTCCTGTTACAATAAAATTGAGTTTGAAAACTGAAGCCCTATGTCCTTTCTCAAAGCCGCCAGAGCATTGCAGTGAAAACCCAGCTCTCCTGACTCCCAAGCCAGCCATACTGTTCCCATGGCTGCATCAGATGCCTTACTGGCTCCAAATCCATCTCTCCAGTCCCTTCACATCCCTACCCACATTGCCATCATCCACTGGCTCCATCCTCCAAGTTAAATCATCCCAAACCATACAGTTTATTCAAACTGTTTCTTCCCCCATACCACCTGCACCTTGGTTCTCCCTTGAGACATCCTCAGCCCCTCCCATTGCCCCAACAGCCAAAAATCCATCAATTGTGACTTTCCCTGCAGATGTCCCTGAACCTGCCTCTCTTCTGCTCCCACTAGTGCTACCTATGTCTGGTCCTGGCAACTCTTACCCAGTACTTGAGTTCTATAACATTGCATTCCAGTTTTCAAGAAATTGGTCATCTAGTCCTGGTTAGTACCCTCACCAAACCCTCTGAAACCATGAAGCTTACCTCTTAGTGATGATAAAATTTGGAGAAGAACAAATTAGGGTCTGCAGTAGTTACCTGATTGTTCCAAAGCCCCCCAGCAAATTTGGTGGCAGCGCTAGAGCTCTAATTTGTAACCCTCTGCCCTTACCCCAAACCCCCGTACTACCTGCTGAGAACTCTCACTTTGCCACAGTGTGAAAAGGATGGGAGAGTTGGGTCCCCTAGGAAGCAGAGAACATAAACCCTCCTACTTCCTCCGGATCAGAGTGAACTGACTGCCTCAGCAGGACCCCCAGGTACAAGCGGGCCTTTCTCTAACTAACTGTTAAGATGGAAGTTCCTCCTCCTTCTCCAGGACAGGAATGGCAGAATTCAATTGCAGTCGAAAGTCAGACAGGGAAGGAAAGTCTGTGAGACTCTTATCTCAGGATTAAACACCAAAAAGCCAAAGTGTAGCTCAAGTGGTAAAACACTAACACTCTGAGCAAAAAAGCTCAGAGACAGAGCTGAGTTCAAGTTCAGGGACAAATTCTGAGTTTAAGTTCTAATGCAAAAGAAAAGAAAAACAATCATCAGAGAGCCAGTAACTTTTGTTGCTAGTTTTGTGGCTTGAGACCTGTGATTTCACCTCTCAATAATATCCATGTCTCAGGGTTGCTCTGGGGTGAAAAAAAGTACTTTAGTAAGTACAAAAAAAAAATCAACTGACTCGACAGCAAAAGTGGTCAATATCACCTGATTCCTGGCCATTGTACACATCAACTGTGCACGTGTGAGTGTGCACAGACGTGCATATGTCTGTGTGTATGTGTGGTTAATTTCTCCTTTTAAAACAGTGTATAGGATTACCGTAAAAGAAGGGAGAAGACTATAGCAAGGACAACCAGGACCAAAAGAACAACAGGAAACACAGCAGCCAATATCACCAGAATGAACAGCACCATAAAAAACTGCTGCAGAAAGTTCTCCGCATGAAATGGCAGCCTGACATCCAGCTCGTCCATATCTTTGGAAAAGCGGTTCATTAGCCTGCCAGTAGGAGTGGTGTCAAAGAAGCTCATCGGGCTCTTTAAGATCTGTGGATAAAAGCAGAGAGTCAAATGGAGTCCAGCTGAGTGTTTAGTAAACCTGGGGCTGGAAGTGCAGGCACAGTCTTGCCCTTTTTTCAAGCGTATAGCATAGCCCATTGTACCAGGCAGTCTAAAGAAACTGAGAATAGCCAAGTGCTGGTGGTTCATGCCTATAATCCTAGCTACTCAGGAAGCTGAGACATGAAGGTCATAGTCTGAAACCAGCCCAGGTAGGAAATTCCATGAGGCTCTTACATCCAATTAACCACCAAAAAATCAGAATTAGAGCTGAAGCTCAAGTGGTAGAGCACCACCTTTGAATGAAAAATATAAGGGACAGCACTCTGGCCCTGAGTTCAAGCCCCAGTACCAGCAGAAAGAAAAGAAGAAAAGAAAAGAGGGTCTGGAAAGGTGGCTCAGTGGTAGAGCACTTGCCTTGCATGCCTGAGGCCCTGGGTTCAATTCCTCAGCACCACATAAGCAAAAAGAAAAAAGCCGGAAGTGGCGCTGTGGCTCAAGTGGTAGAGCACTAGCCTTGAGCTGAAGAGCTGAGGGACAGCGCCCAGGCCCAGAGTTCAGGCCCCACGACCGGACCCCCCCCAAAAAAAAAAAAAAAAAAAAAAAAAAGGGGGGGCGGGGGAGGATGGGAAGGGATGGGAAGGGGAAACAAAGGAGGAGGCTACAATACTTGATAAGAAATGTACTCATTACCTTGCCCATGTAATTGTAACCCCTCTGTACAGTATATTCACAATAAAAAAAAGAAAAGAAAAGAAGTTAGAGGGTAGAAGGAAGGGAGGGAGGGAGGGAGGGACGGAGGGACGGAGGGAGGGAAGGAGGGAGGAAAAGAGGAGAAGGACAGGGCAGGAAGGAAGTAATTCAGCCTGGATTCTCCCCAACTCCTGTAGCCATCAAGAGAGCATGTGGGGGGATTGTCTTCTGTAGGGGGTGCCCTGCAGGTCAGGCTTCCTTTCTAAATCTGGGAGGTAAGCTGCAGTGGAGGGAAGGGGTTGCTCTTATATTCCAAGGCAATGAAACCTAAGCTCCATTTTGTCTCTGCATCCCCAAAGAGAGAAGCTCTTTGTACACTCTGATGAGGGCCCTAGCAGCCAATGGCTGACACCCACTACAGCAATGGCAGGCAGATGGGGCCAGAAGTACTTCTGAGTAGCCTGCCTAGTCAGGTTCCTTAGAGCAAAGATGCTTTCTTCTTGACCTGAACATCTCTGTTTCATGGAAGCTTCCCCAGATTAGCCCAAGGGTCCATGATTGTAGCCTTGCAGCTCTCCATAATTGCCCTTCCCATGTAAGAGGCTCCAAGAAGCTCTTCTGTCCCCAAGGCTCAGCACAGTGTGTGACACACAGTAGGGTCCATAAAGCCCCATTGACTGGCTAATGAGATGAGCCTGCTGCACTTCTAGATTTACCTTATAGAACACTCTATCGTGCAATGAGGAGGATGCCTTCAGTGCAGTCTTGGTGAAGGTGATGCCTTTGATGATGCCAAACACCACCACAAATACCATGCTTGCTGCGTACACTCGCTGGTACATGTGATGCCCAGTGCCTGCCATGATTGCACCAACCTCACACGTGCTCTTGTTGCCATGGGGCCCGCACATGATCTTTGGAGCAAAACAAGAGAAGTCTTAAGAGCTGGCATCAGGAGAAACTGTCAGAAGAAAGAGAATATTCCAAATAGAAGAAACTAAAATCATGGGCATGATTGTAAAGGCTGAGTCAGGTTGATAAAAATCAAATCAGCTCCCTCAGAAGACATCTGAACTTTGCATGGTTTCTTTCCAGGGGAAGCTGATTTGGAAGCACAGCATAGTCAATAGGGAAAATAAAAGCAAACAAGTATGGGGCAGCTATTCCAGAAGCTACCTGTGCCTCTGGAGAACAGAAGTAATACTGAATGCAGAACATCAAGAAGGAATCTGGACTCCAAGGGATTGACTGAGCCACCTTTAGGCAAGACAGGAAATCAAGGACCAGTCTCCAACAACACCGATTCCTCAGTGGGGGGAGAGGGGAAGGGAGGGGAGTGGATGGGCTTCTCTGTAGGATAGGCCAGCTCTGTAGTCCCTCCCTGTTCTTTCTAAGGGCCAACTGTGAAGGTACTGGCACACACTATCCTGGGGTCCCTGTTGGGGAAGAGAGAACCTAGTTAATACAGAGTATTCTTGAATGTTTTGAAGAAATCATGGCTTCATCATGCCCAGGGAGAGGTTACAACTTCACCAGCATTTCTGGGAGAGGCTATCTTTCATCCTTCTGAGAAAAATGGCAGTTTCATTTTTCTCGAGGCTGTGTGTTAAAAGTCAAGTGGGCCTTTGGGGAGTAAACAAACATCATTCTTCTAAATGCCATTCTGCTGATTACAGTAATAGAGGAAATGTAAACCAGAGGTGGCTGATAGATTAGCATTTGCGAAGGCAAATCCATCTCTGGTTCAGGGAGGGGAGAAGAGGAGGGAGGGGGGAAGGCTCAGCTACTTGAAGACCCTTCCACGGACTGTAGGTGGCACCCACTGTGTCAGGTGATGGAGACAAAGACATGGCTCTGCCATCATTGCAACATACTCAGTGGCCTGCTGGAGAAGCCCCCTACTGGAATTTTCCAAGGAGAGGGTTCTTTGGACTGAGTGAGAATCCAGAGACAACTACCCAGAGCAGACCACATAGTAGCCTCCTCCCTGGGGAGGAGGGTACAGAAAGCTGTACCCAACAGCCTCTCCCTTCTCCAAGCCTCCTTCATATAGCCTGTTTGGTTGTCATAGCAACAAAATTGTAACAAAATGTGTTCTTGAAGAATGGGCAAGAACCCCCCCCCCCACAGCATTGCTCCAGGGCTCCAAAAAAAGCTTGGAAATCATTGGCCAGCAGCTGGGAGAGATTATAGCAAGCTCCAGGGAAGGTAAACTCCATCAATCCTGCCCAGTATGAGACGGGAGCCTTGGGAGGTTAGAGAACAGGTCCCAGTCAACCTGTAGCATTTATGGGGACAGAGCCTGAATCTTCCCATCTCCCATTCCTGCAGTGGTGGTGGTTTTGGGGATCAAACATCTGGCAATATTCATGACAATATGGCAATTCTCTTCAGAGGACAGAAGCACCAATCTGAGTTAGGATTTCCCAGCCTGATCCTGCCACTTGTCAGGACTAAGATTGCTGAGCTAAATACCCTGCACATGCTGACCCCATGTGTTGTACTTGACTGCATGGTTTTTATTAGCTGTGCTTTAAGATCTGTAGATGGAGTCAGGCAGCTATGTCTCATACTTATAATCCTAGCTATTCAGGAAGCTAAGGCCTGGAGGATCTCAGTTCAAAGCCAGCCCAGGCAGGAAAGTCAGCAATTAACCAGCAAAATGCTGGATTGGGTGTATGTCTCAAGTGGTAGAATGAACAAGCCAAATGAGCATCATAAGGCTCTGAGTTCGGTGGGGGAAAAAAAAACTGCAGATGGCAGGTGGACATTCAGATGCCCTGCTTGTCTGGAAAACAAAAAGTGCAGGGGATCAGAGGAATTTGAATCGTGTAGTATAAGTAACTGATTTCCTCTTCATGAAAAGGATCAAAGGGAGATAATGAGCTCATCACATGCGGCTGGACACACTCAGACCTCCATTCAGCAACCTCTGTGCTCCGAGAGAGAGACTTAAGTTTTGCTAAAGGGCAACTCACCTGTGAGCCCTTGTCTAACCATAGACCCAGCCACCAGGCACTGAAGGCAGAGCTGCCCATCATCAGGAAGAAGAGGGACACTACAAAGAGAGAGAGGAGATACCCTGCAAGAGGAAGGGCAAGGTCTGTGGCAGTTACGGATGCCAGGGGGTGGCTCAGACTACCTCCCTCAGAGTTCAACCCTGGGAATTTGGGAAACTCAAAGCCTAGAGGAAAAGGGTTCCCACCCCTAGGAACAGACATCACAAGCTAATTAAAGCTATCTGGATGTTGGCCCCCTAAGCCCCAATAAGAACATGTATCCCACCTGCTTAGAAAATGGGTTCACATCATCTGACATATTGGAAAATATCTCCAATGAAAACTTCCATAGAAGTGACTCCATATTCTCTAAAAATCAAACCAGTAAAAAATCCCATCGTTTTGGAGAGAGATAGGCACCTCATGTGGAAGACAGGGCTGAGCTGACAGCTACTGTACTTAGCCATCAGAGAGCAAGCATGTGGAGGAGCCATCACTGGCCTGTGTCCGCTGCCCACTCAGCTCCTATAAAACCAAGCTGGGAAGCTTTAATGGAGATAAACAAAATATGATCCCACTTAAAAGGCTGCATTATCAGACTTTAGGTTTTAAAGGGGGAAAAAATAAAGCTCTGACAAACAGCCCTCACAAAAAGAGAGTAACTGTTAAGAAAGGAATCATAAAAATGTGAACCCAACAGTTTAAGAACAGATTTTTCAAATGCAAATTAAGTCAAGAGACTTGTTGGTTTATACTGAACCTCCAGAAGCCTTAATGTATGTGTGATACGTCTTCAGGGTCACAATTCCTTCCTGGGGGGACTCAGTCTGGATGAGCTGGTGCTCAGGAGCTATGGAAACAAACACAAGCCCATGGCCCTCATGGCTAAGATGCCCCCAGTTGCCCCTCTGCACACCTCTCTTCACTTGTTCCACTTGCCCAGGGCTTTCAACCTTCCAGGCTTAAGCAACTGGATTTGATTTGATTCTTATTTCAGCCCTGGAAAGGAGGCAGCTTCCAGTCTTCTGAGAAACATTTATTAAGCTCCTATTATGCATTTGGCCTTGGAGATTGAAGAGTCATGTTAATCTTTCTCTCAGAAGCAGACTCCTTAGTGTTCATGGGTTATGCATCTGCAGACATAGCCAATCTTAGATTGAAAACATTTGCAAACCATGGCCTTTATGCTAAACACACAGACTTTTTTCTTGTTAGTCCCCAAGGAATGTGTCATGTTAAGTGTTAGAAGTAGAATGGATAGAGAGAGGAAAGGTGGATGAATGTAGTCACAATATTCCATGTACATATTTGAAAAGAGAGCCAGGAAAATTGAGGGTATGGGTGAGGTTAGGAGAGATGGGCAGACTGTGATAAAAAAAAAAAACATTGTACTGGGGCTGGGAAGGTGGCTCAGTGGTAGAGGCTTGCCTTGCATGCATGAGGCCTGGGTTCGATTCCTCAGCACCACATAAGCAGAAAAAGCCAGAAGTGGCACTGTGGCTCAAGTGGTAGAGTGCTAGCCTTGAGTTGAAGAGCTGAGGTACAACGCCAAGGCTCAGAGTTCAGGACCCATGACTGACAAAAACAAATAATAAACAAAAACAAAAAGAATTGTACTCACAAACTAACTTGAAACTCCTTTGTGTAACTACTCAAAGATAATAAATTTTTAATAAAAAATGAAAGGAATCTATATAAAAAAGAAGTTAAATAGAGATGATAGAAAGTATACAAGCAGATGCACATCAGTTACAAGTAAATACTACACCACTTCATATAAACAAGGGCTTTGAGCACCTGAAGAACTAGGAATCTGTGGGGAGTCCTGGGGCCAATCCCCTGAGGATATTGAGGGGTAATTATAGTTGACTGGGGTCTAGTAGAAGAGGGAGGGAAAGCAACAGTAAAAGGACTATCATCAAACCAGCAAGCCCAGTGCACAATTGGAGCCTGGCTGATTCTCTCAGCCTGTGGAGACCTCACCCCAGAGCTTCTTCACATGTTGTGGGATGGCTTTCCTATCACAACTCCTCCTGGCCACTGGGGAAGACTTTGGAGAGGTTAATTTCCCATTTTGATGTGTGTCTACTGGAGAAAGCCCCAGGCCAAGGGGTACAGAGGTGGCATTGGGAAGTCCAGCTGCATGCACTACAGCAACAAGGGCACCCGCATTGTCTTTTCCAAGGTGAGTAAGGGAGCTGTTCCCATCTTCCCAGAGCTCATGTCCTTCTGGGTCAGCTGCTGCATGGACTCTGCGTGGCTGTTTGAAAGGGAAGGGAAACATCTTCCTGGGTATGTCTCAGAGCTAGAGCATGTCTGAGTACTTCCATTCAACCCAGAAAGACTTTGGAGCAGTAAAAATAAGTTGTCTCTCCAAACGTGCAGGCATATGTCACAGCAAATTAGTGCTGCCAAATTTAATTGATTCAAGGACTTTTTCCCCTTCATATTTTAACGTTCCCCAAATCTGGATGTTCTTTCGATTCCATAGTAGGTGATATCATTTAATTGGTAGAGAGATTTTTTTTCCATGTTACATGAAATGACTGAGTTTTTAAAAAATATATGGCATTTTAAATTTGATGAACTGTACTGTAATATTTTTTTCTTCTCTTTATCTTGGTTTTTGAGACACAGTCTCGCTATGTAGCCCAGGTTAGCCTCAAAGTTTCCATTCCCCTGCCTCAGCTTCCTGAGCGCTGGATTATAAGTGTGTGGAACCACACCTGACCAAGATGCATTAAGTTTGGGGGATTTTTTTCCAACTACTCATTAATGAGAATCAGAAGCCTAAATCTGGAAGAAGAAAAAAACCACCCCACTTTGTGCGAGTACTTTGGTGAAATGTGACCCCTGTCCTATGAGTGTGTGACCTATCATCAGGTAGAGTCAGCACTTAGGGATGGGAATAGACAGAGGGAGGGAAGGCAGCAGTCTGAGGGAGGAGGACAGGTGACCTCACCACACTGGCCATTACCAGGCTCATCTCAACTCCTTGCCTTTTTGGAGCTTCCTTGTGCTCTCAACTTCAAACTCTCCACCATCTCCTCTCCTCTCACCATACTGTCCTGGGAAAATTCCTATACATCCTGAAGGACAAGTTCAAAGGTAGCCTGCACTTCCCTACAGCTTCCCGTTTTCACCGGACATCAACTAGATGGCAAGATCCTGAGGACACAGTCATTTTTCCCTGGCCTATCTTAGTACCCAGCACTAGTACAATGTTGAGAGCTTAGTTTTTGAAAGAATTAATCACCTTCTCTCACCTGGCTTCCTTCCTTTTCACAGCTCCTGTGCTTGCTTTCTTCTCTACTCAATTCCTATGTGTTGCTTTGAGCTCCCCAGCTAATAACAACTATTGAATGTTCCTGGATGACAGGCCCTGCAGTTTGCAGGGGTCTGGGAGGTTGGTCTGTCATTTCTCCATTTTATGATTGAGAAACGAAGGTTCTGATTGGTCAGGCAACTTGCTCAAGGTCACAAGACTAGTGAGTGTTAGAGCTAGAATTTGTACTGAGGCTCTGATAGACTTGTTAATGCTGGGGCTAAACACCTGTGATAACAATTTAAGGAAGAAGGATATTCTTCCTCTCAGTGTCAGTGTTTTCAGCCCATGATGGTGGTGAGGACATTGCAGAACAGACCAGCTCACCTCATGGTGGCCAGGAAGTAGAGAGAAAGAGAGTGCACACACTAGCAGTCTTCCTCCTCTTTCTCGTTTTGTTCCATCTGTGCCCTCAGTCTATAAAGCAGTGCTGCCCACAGCCACTGTAGGGCTTCTTCCTTGGTTAATCCATTCTGAAAACCTTTCAGATACACTCACAGGTGTGCTTTCCTTATATAGGCCTCTCTTAATCCAATTGAATCAACAATGAAGATTCACCATGACAGGCTCACACTACCAGCCAATTCTAGATGCCCAGAACAAAATTCACTGTGGCACACTTCCTTTCCACCCATAGCTACCCACTATATCTCTATGGTTCTTTGACCAAGGGAAAGCATGGTAAATACCTTTCGTGTCTGCAAGCTCTGATTCTGTTTCAGGTTCTTTTCCTTCAACTTTCTCATCTCCTGGAGTTGAAACTAAGATGAGAAATAGAGGTCTGTGTCCATTCATGGCCAAGGGCAGTAGGAGGAGTGGGATTCTAAGTCTGACTGTACCAGCATCTTCATCTTTCCTGGAAGGGCTCTCCTTCAGGGCTTCTACCATGGCTGTGTTGTAAATGTGCTCAGGATCCTGGAGATAAAGTAAAATTCCTAAAGCTGGGTGTCAGTGGCTCAGACCTGTATTCCTAACTACTCAAGAGGCTGAGATCTGAGGACCATGGCTGTGGCTCAAGCAGTAGAATACCAGCCTCAAGTGGAAAAACTCAGGGGCCGCACCCAGGCCTTGAGTTCAGCCCCAATACTGGCAAAAACAAACAAAGTGAAATTCCTTCTGAAAACAAAATGGCATAACTTTTCGAAAAAAATCACAAGGAAAGGCTCCCAGCCCCACCCTACCCTATCTCCCTCCCACCCCCATCCTACCCCTGCCCAGATAGCATAGCTGTTACCTGGAACTGCAACCCTCGGAGGTTGTAAATCAGTTTTGCATAACGCCCTCTTTCCTCCATCAACTCCTTGTGGGTCCCCTTTTCACAAATCTCTCCATCTTCTAACAAAATGACTTCATCACAGTACTCTAAAAACTGTACAGAGAGTAAAGTAACCTACTCTGAACTTCTGCTTTGTTAGAGAGAACAGTGTGCCCAATACCAGATTCACAGCACAGTTTCGTGGGCTCACCCAGAACAAGGTTCTCAATCTTGGCACTGTTGACATTAGTGACCAGCTTCTGTACATTCCCCCAAACAGCCCAATCAGGAACAGCTTGGCTCTTAATGTCCACTTGAGATCTTTTTCTGACAAAATCTTTTTTCCAGAAGGCTTTCACCTTTCCACAGTATCTTCTACCTTTTTCAAAGCTTAATCTCATCTCTTGTCTTTCAACCTGCCCCCAAGAAGGCAGGCAGTTCACTGTCAGCTGATTTTCCACATGGGGAAACTGAGAAACCCTAAGACTGTTACAGCCCAACACCCTATTCTCCCTGAGTCAGGGCATGCATCTTCTCTTTCTGGAGAAGCCTTCTCTGAGACCAGAACCCCCAGTTCACTCCAGCTACTAGGCAGCTTTGTTAGACAATCTCCCAGGAATCAATCCTAAATTAGCTATCAGCAGTGACTAGCCTCGTTTAATTTATTTTCTCAAGTAAATAGAAGAGTGATTGTCCAGCCCAGCCAGTCAGGAGCCGCTGGAATAAAAGCAGAGAAATGTTCTGGAAGAGCCCCTGGGCTTCAGTTCAGGCTCCCTCCTCTCCTCCCATACTAGGGATAGGAATGGCTGGGCCAGGATTCTGGTGCCACCTGGTGGCCATCCGCATTTTCCAATATCAAATGTAAAAGGTGAGCTAAAATGACCTTGGGGAGATATATTTCTGTGACCTCGCCTAGGAGAAAATTCAGTGAGCACTTGCCTAGGTTCATAGGCTAGTTAGTCAGTTTCAAACATAGACTAGCGCTGGGACTATGATTTTCCCTCAATTCTGACCTGCACTTACCCTCCAAAGTCTCCAGAACCCCTCAGGACAGCTGTCCTACTCTGGTTTATCTCCAGAGATTGAACATTCATGGGCCAGTGCTGTGGTTACTATGTTTAGCACCCTGTCTTGGCCAGAGCCTTTTGCCAGCACCATATGGGGGACTATGAAGAAATCCAACCTGCCCTTCACCTGACCCAACCTGGGGGGGGGGAGGGTGATCTCACTTCCAGGAAACCTGGCAGCCCACATGGGAAAAATTAGAATGCTTGGAGCATCTCCCCAGGTCCAGAATTTTAACCCTGGGCAAAAGATGGCTCAAGGGTAGGGTCATTATTATGGGAAAGCATCATTTCCGGGTCTTTGAGGAACTCCTTCCTCTCTCTGGGTTCTGTTGGAATATTGTTACATGTTAGCTGCAGCATTCTGTGGCACAGACAGCCTCATTTCTTGCTACTCCCACCACTCATCGGAGACCTACCTCTGCCCTTGAACTAAGGCCTTGTACTACATGTTCCCGCAGAAAGGAGGAGATAGGGCTCTGCTCCCCTGCCTCAGTGGGCCAGCTGCTAGTGCAGGCCTGTCCCCTGGGTTATCTCTCCTGCATGAGATCCCTATATACACACATGCTGCACATCTCTGGACACTTACCCTGAGAAGAGGAGAAAAAGATAGCATGAGAGGGAGGAGCCTTGGCTCTCCTCACTTGGAGAAATGTCCTTTATTGCCACCGGACATTCGGGATCTTTATAAAGGATGGATGCAGCTAGGACTGTCCCATCCTACCACATTCTCAAGCTCAACACTGCAAAATTCTTGCTCCTAAGACTGAAAGAGACAACTCTCCCCACAGAGAACAGGCTCCAGGCAAGAGGAAGCTCCCCCTAAACCTCAGTCCTAGCTCCAAATCCTGACTTCCCCTGGAGATGAAGACTGGAACATAGGAACACTTTCATTCAAAGGTCCACGCCCCTTTTCACTCCCAGCCAAGGTGTCCCTGGCCTCAGCCCTTATTGGAGGAAGAATGGAAGGTTAATTGATTCCTCATCCATCTCCCCAGCTTCTCACCACAATGGCCCAGAGCTCTGGAGTGCCTTATGTCCACCCACAGGCCCCAGTCAGTTGCTCCTGAACAAGCAACTCTCTCGTGAAGAAAAGGCCTGTTTCCAATAAACTCAAAGGCAATGGCCCCAGTGAACCCAAAGTCAGGGCCACTAGGGTCACACTGAGAGAGGAGTAGGCCTCCGTGTTTGGGTGCCAAGAGGGGGCTGCATGGTATCCTCAGTCTCCCCCATCCTCTGTGGCCTCGGCACCTTGTACAGGTAAGGACAGGACGGATGGGAAAGCCAGGTTTAGATCAGAAAAGAGGCTTTGTGAACACCAGGCCCACCCATCCCTAGACCCCAGGGTTCCTGCAGGTCCCAGTCACCTGCAGTTGATGGGTCACAAGGACAACAGTCTTCCCCCTAAGTGTCTTCTTAATGCACTCCTCAAAGACATGCTTCCCCACGTGGGCATCCACGGCTGACAGGGGGTCATCCAGCAGGTAGAGCTGACGGTCAGAGTAGACAGCACGGGCCAGGCTGATCCTCTGCCTCTGCCCCCCAGAGAGGTTGAGACCCCGCTCCCCGATCTGTGGACAGGAATAATGGCACTGCCAGGAATAATGGCCCACATGCCACCTTGCAGTTCTTAGAAAACAGGAGTTCCTAAAGTGTCTCAAGATTCAGGACAAAAACATATATGAGCATATCCTCGCCCAAGCGCATGAGTGAGTGAGTGGAAAAGCTCCCGTTTTAGTACTTCTCCAGAAAGTCCAATGCACAGTGCCCCAAAGGGAGCAGCTCTCCCCAACACTGAGTGAAGGGTGCCTGCCTCATGACACCCCCATCCTAGCTATAGAGAGAGAGACTGTATCTTGACCAGTAACACCGAAGGAAATTGTTTGCACCAAAGCTCTGAGTGACTCTGAACAGGAGACACGATGTGGCTGGGAGCAGATGGACAAGGCCAACTCTCCCCAGCAGGCAACTCTGCTCTGTGAAGAGACAAGGCTTGCTCCCCTGCCTGCCCACTATCACATGCCTAAGCCCAGCACCAGGAAGGGCACAGAATAGATACTCAGTAAATCCTTATCAACAGGAGGATTCTATCCTGTGGAGTCCAAGGTGAACCCATCATGGTCAACTGCTCAGATGTTGCACTGGCTGCTGGGGTCAGGGCACATGAAAATGGAGATGCAAAGTGCCCTACCTAGCCATCAATTGGGAGGTCACATGGTAGCATGAGGTTGTAATACAAAGACAGCACCAAGTAGAGTTCACTTAGTGCCAATCCAGAAGTATGTACTGTGAGGTAAATTGCTCCCACTGTAGGCCTGGGCAAGTTTTCCCCAAAGAGGTGGATTTGGGGGTGGAGCTTAAAGGGTGAATAGAGATGAGGAAACTAGCAGGCAGGTAGGGGGAGGCAGAGGCACAACCTGGAAGGAAGGCCAGAGGCGAGGGCCAGGGAGACTGGCTGTTTCCCTGAAAGGCAAATTGAGGGCACTAGTAGAGAAATACCACGTGCTTGGAGCTGATCTTTTCTTCAGAGAATTTGGCTTTTTGAGCTCCCTGGGGAAGGCTGTGCATAAGGCCCAAGCAGGCTGGGGAGAGAGGAAGATGACACAAGGACTCCCCTAGGTCACCTATGTGAGCATGCTCCGCCAGGACACAGGAACAGGCACTGAGGGACAATGTTTGGAGATGACTTCTGAGACTCAGCTTCATGAAGCACCCTGTAGCCCAGCTCCAGAGAGCAGAGCTTACCCTTGAAGTGTGGAAGCCATTTCCCCACCCCATCCCCAGAACATCTTCTGAGACAATAGGAAGACTGGCGGTGGTCCCTGAACCAAATGCCAAAGGGTTGGGTAGACATCCATTATAATGCTCACCAGAGTAGAGCCTGATGGAGAATTGAGGATGGGTAGCATCTGAATGTGGCCGGCTGTTCCATGTTCTTTCAGCCTTCAGGGCATTTACATGTGGGTCAGGGGTAGTTAAGCAAGCAGGCAATGGGGCAGCTGGGGAGGGCTTGGGTCCCAGCTCTGCTCACCTCAGTCAGGTCTCCATAAGGGAGGTTGCTGAGATCCTTCTGGAGGCCACAGACACGCACTGTGTGCTGATACCTGTGGGTACAAAGGCCAGAAGGCAGTATGTCATCTCTGGGACAAGGTCACAGGAACCAGGAGGTGTGAAACTCAGGATTTCTGGCCAGTTGCCTTGCCTTTGAAGTCCCAAAGGCAGCATCCTTTGACCTCTGGGATCTCCTTGACACAGAGTTGATTCAGTGTTCACCCCTCCCCTTGCAGGGCTCCTGAAAATAACATCAGTGCCATGCAACCCTGAAAGGGAACACCAAAGCTGACAACTGCTGGTGTGGGTCTTGAGCCAAGGAAGTTGGCCATGTGAACTAAAGTCAAGGGACAGTTCTTGTGAGGACAAAGGGGTGGAGCCTAACCGCATAGACTTGGGGTGACTATAAATGCCAACCTCAGCCTTTGTGCTCTAGAAAGCCACTGCCTACCCATTCTTTTGACCAGGTTGTTAAATAAAGGCTTTTCCCCATGGAAGCAACTGAGGACATGGAGGCAGAACATGTTCCCTAAAGGGAACAGAGACTAAAAAGAGGTAGGACCTAGCTACTGGGTCCCCTCATCTCTCTACTTTCTCAGCATCATCCACTGTTGAGTCCTGAAGTTCAGTCCTTGGCAAGTGTGACTTAGGAGGCCCTAATTGGCTCTGCACAGCCAAGTACCTTAGCCCACTGGCCTAAGGGCCTGACTTTATTCAACCCCTAAGTAAAAGCCCATCCCCTCAGGGATTCTGGCACCAAAAATCTAGAAAAAGTAAGTTGTTGGTGGAATTCACAAGTCCTGTGGTAAGAGACAGGCCCATATCCCTCTCCTTTGGGTTTCATTTCATCTCAACCTCATTCAGCCTCACCATGAATGGAGTTGTCCCCAAGGCACCATAGTTACCACAAGAACTAGGCCTCTCAATGTCTGGTTGTGACTAGCGACTGTCAGATTTGTGTCCCATACAAGCAGCTATCAGACCCCACAACTAGGCCCTAAGTTTATATCCCATTCTACAGGAATTATTGGGTTGGTGATGGTTGGTTGACTGAAAAAATCATCATTATCATCATCATCATCAACATCATCATCATCATCATATCATCATCATCATCCTCTTTCCTCCATGTATGGGCCTCACAATATGTGGGGCCAATGAGGAGTGACAGAGAAAGCAAACAGGCCCTGCATGGCTGCCCTTCAGTTAACACACGGGTACTTGACCATGTCTTGTTAGCTTCCAGAACAGAGCTCAAGTGTGGCCCTGAGCATGATGCTCATATACCAACTAACTACATAGTAGGTTAAGACCAAAAGCCTTGGAATCAGAATGATATGGGTTTAAATCCATCTGGGTATCCTTGGACAAGTGACAGCATTTCCCTGGTCTTCACTCTCTACTCAGTTATAAAGTGGGCTAATAACTCACTGGTCTGTGAGGTTAGAGAGGGAAATATGCAACCCACTATTGCAATGTCAGGTGCACTGCACATTCTCTAGCATGGGAGTTGATGTTATTACCTTTGCCAATCTTCAACTACAAGACTCAGACTGCTCTGTACATCCTCACCCTCTCTGCAACTCATTTAAAATGTCCTCCTGCTCCTGCTTTCTACAGCTCTGAGAGCTGAAATTTCTACCCTGGGAACCAAAGCTCTGTTGATGTGGCACATATGAACAGTGTTCATCCTTCAAGGCCCTTCAAGAGAGAAACCAACTCTCTTCTCTGATGCCCAACTTCCTGTGACATCTGCTGCCTCTGAACAGTCTGCCACAGTCTCCTGTTACTTGGTGTGTCCTTCCTTGAGACACTGCCACTTCTGTTCCTCTTCTACAGCCCATTCTGGACTTGAGCACCTAGGCAACAAAGATTCGCTGAACCATCTCTTTATCCCCATGGTGCCCTGCACATTGCAGGCAAACACCCTCTGAACTTCCTCACTAACAAATTAAGGAATTATCCTTCCATCTTACTTCTATGAGAGGAGAAAATGCTCTGGATGGGGATAGGAGGAAGCACCAGAACAGGCAAAGGGAGCCAGAAGATGATGATCAGAGAAGTTTGACTAGGGTCATGCTGATTTGCCACACCTGACTCTCTTGGTGATGGGATGCCATAGCCAGGAAAGGAGGCTGTGAGCTAAAACAGACCTCCTACTTGGCATGCACATGTTGGTTAATGCCAGCCAGGAAGGACAGAGTTTGGAAATTCAGACAGTAAGAAAGTTCAAACTAGAGCTAGAACCCTAAAACCAACTGTCTCTTGTACTTTGGGCACTGTGGTCATTGGGAAGAGCCTGAGCAACGCAGATGATAGGTGACTCCAAGGCCAAGTCTACCATTTAATATCATTGACCTTGAGCCAGTCAGTTCAGCTCTGCCAGCTCCAGTTTCCTCATCTGCAAAATGGGAATCAAATGCCAGGATCCTTCTTAAACAAGTGAATTCATCCTTAAAGGAGAGAATGCTCACAAAAACACATCAAATTTGACCACAAACCCTAGGAAGCCATTGTTTTCCAGAGCTTTGTGATAAATGGACCACAGCATATCAGATAATTATAATTGGAACTTTGCTTTTATTGCATTAGATCATTTTGAGGATACTAACCACAAGACATCCTGATAATGCTGATGTGAAGTAATGTCAGGGCTTATTAATTGCAGGCCTGCTGCTCATGATTTCAAGCAAAGTTTTGGTTACTCAGCCGAAAGCAAAAATTCCCAGATTCATTTTTTTCTCCAATCAGACAGCATATGCCCTCTGACAGAGAACCACACAACATATGGTACTCTGCTCTGGGAAGTGAGCATTGGTTGCATCCTCTTCTCAGTGTGTGGCCTCAGGTCTGCAGAAGGTGAACCTGAATTCTCAGGTCAGGAAGAGAGACACCAGTGTCCATGCTTCATCAGAACTCATTAAAGAAATCTACTTAGCAGTCATTACCAACGGCATCAGCATCTGTGGTGAGGCATGCCAAATAGCAGTGTGCTTTGTGATTTTAATAGTATTACCTTTGATGATTGTACTTTTCTCCAAATAATATGTTTTCTCTCACATTTCCATGAAAGATCCACGCTTGCTGTGAAACGTAAGCCAGAGAGCCATTGACGGCCACTACTCCTCTCTGTAACTGCATCTGGAACAATACAAAAAAAGGTTCAGTAGCCACACTCAAGGCCCAGTACCTGTGGTCTCCTGCCACCCACTTATTTCATTGTAACCAATGCAGTTACAAAGGTGCCAGAGGGTCAGAAAGGTGTCTTATGCACCCACTGAAAAGCCTAGCTGCAGTTCTCAACGTCAAGCACCCGAGAGGGGTCGGAAAGTGAACATTAGGGAACAAATAGTTGGGATCCTCCTGCCCTTCAAGCCAGTCACAGGTCTGCTGTTGCTCATATTACCCCAGGCCAATTACGGTGAGACATCCTGTGAGCATACTAATTGCAAGAGGATCTTTTCCTCCAGGCACATTGGCTGGGTCCAAACGTCCCTTCCCAGGCCCCGGTAGCAGGACACAACCTATACAGAGTACAGAGTGTGTCCTGCTTGTCGGGGCAGCCTCAATTCTGCTTCATAGCTGGCATTATGCCATCCTGTCTTCCAGATGACCACAGTAAGGGGCACTGTCACTGCTGACAGTGTTTCTTATGGTCCAGAGGGTCCATGTTCTTAGGTAGAGGATTGAGCTGGAACCCCAGCATCATCGCAGAGGTACACACAATGAATACCAGAGTATAGTTGCTTCAGGGGTGCACCTGACACAGCCCAGCCACACTCCCACCTATACTTGTAGGTAGGAAGGAGCTACCACTCTTTCTACAGTCAAAGGAGGCCCAAGAAGTCACTCACATTGGAGTAACACATACATCATTATAGTGGAGCTCTACTGAACCTCACTTCTTCAGAGGGACCCCAAATTCTTCTGGCTACAGACAATCCCAGCCACCCAATCTTCTCTTTAGGAACAGTAAAATGGAAGAGAACATAATGCTTTTCCCAGAAAATGTCTCATTTGTTTAAATACAACTTAGAAACCATGACATGAGCACAGTAAATGGCCTCCCCATGGCCCCTGGTGCTAGAGGTCCCCTCCAGCCAGAGCAGAGAAGGGACAAAACCTAATTCATTGAACCACCCACCCTCCACTGGGTCAGGTGTGGTGAAGCAACTTCTCTGGGCAGACTCTGAGGCAAGTACTAGGGACACATGGAGACAAACATGGAGGAAATGGCACAGAAAGGGGGAAACACATAGAAAGTCACCATGAGACCCAGGCTCCTTTATTCTCCACCACACTGCCCTGCTGACCTTTCTAAATCCCCAAGTCGTGGGGAAACCATGGGTTTAACATTTTTCCTTAATCCAAGATGGATCTATAGTCAGAAGCAATTCCCATTTCATACATGGCCTCAGGATGCAAACCCTAAGGTATGTAAAAAGGTTGGTCCTTGTCTAGCCAATGGGTATGGAGCTGCCAAAAGTATGAATGTCTGGGAAGTCTACTAAACATGTGCACAGTCCCCCGAAGGCCCCTCAAACCCCTAAAGTAGGGAGGAAGGGAACCATTTCATTGTCACATTTATGTGCCATCTTCCAGAACGCACTCACTGCTTACCTGTCCTAGGAGAGCTGAAATGAGGGAGCTCTTCCCACTTCCAACATTTCCACAGATTCCCAGGACTTTACCCTGCCAGAGAAGTAGAGAAAAGACACAGTCACACCCCCAAGTTTTCAGTGAGGACAAATGCTCCTGTGAGTTCTAAGAGGTGGCAGCTGCCACCTCCTCCCCAAACCCAATGCACACAACCTGGGAAGATGCCGGGATGTAAGTCTTAATTAAGAGCTCTCCTTTGCACTGCACAGCAGAGTGCCCAAAGGGCTTCTAGAAACTGTGTACAGGCACTGACGTGAAACAGCCTTATGCTGGTCTGAGGAAAAACAGACACGGACTTAGGGTTGTCCTGTGTCCAGACTTTAGGAAAGCAAGTCTAATGAGACATAAAAAGGTGAGATAGCCCAGAGGAACACAGGTAGCCTTTGAAGTATGGAGCTATGGGTGCTTTTTAAAAAGTCCCTTTTTCTTATTAATTCCTCCACCATCACAACTCAATTTAAAAATACTGGGCAGCAACTCTATTTCAACATGTTGGACGCACGATTTCACTACAGCTGCAGATTTGTTAATTCAATTGTCAAGTCATTACTGAGCACCTGCTATGTGTCAGGTAGTGATCTGAACACCAGTGGTGACACAAGAGCAAGGAACACAGCAGGTGAGTTCTGCATCTTCCCTATGGAGCTTATGCTTTAGCTGGGGAGGACAGACAAGAAGCAAGAGAAGTAGGTGAACCTGGAGTATGTGAAATGTTCACCATAGAGAAATGAAGTAAGGGAGCAATGAAGTGATGAGGACTCGGGAAAACCACCTAAGAAGACTAAGTCCTGCCAGGAACAGCTGCGGGTTCAACGGTGTACATGAATGTATTATTCTGTTTTCAGAATAATGAACACATCCCAAACAAGAGAGGAAATGGTACAGAAAAGGAAAATTAGCCATAAATATAGACTTTGAAGTCAGCTCTCATAGAAGGCAAATGAATTTGCTCCATGCCATAAGGAAACTCTGGGAAACTGAGCACAGTTTTATATAAATAGCTGAGAAGTTATTGCCTGAGGCCTGTTCCCTTGTCTGCCAAAATCTTAGCACTCTGAGGGTAGGGTAAGGAACTCTCGGACACAAATGCAAACTTTTCTGTTGGAAGATGGCCAGAGCACACGAAGGCACAGGGGCCACAGACAGCATTTGCTATAGGTGACATTTAAGTAATCCATGAAAGAGATTCCTCTACAGGCAGAGGAATCGCCCATGTGGAACATGTTCCCACTCCTATGTTTGAGCAACTATTGCATGTGAACCACTTGAGAACATTCTCTTGTAAGCCTGTTCCCTGCAGTTGCTTAGAGCAAAGATACCTAACATGGAAACAGATACAGTTTTTTTTCATCATGAGCTTGGCCAGAAATGCTCATCACCTATCTACCACACCTACATGTTATCAGTAGCTCCTCTGAGTATTCCATACACATGTATGAAAACAGAATAATGATGACCACCAGATGCTAATGGCTCACACATGTAATCCTAGCACTCAGGAAGCAGAGATCTGAGGATCAAAGCTCAAAGCCACTCCAGGACAATAAATCTGAGACTCTTAATTCCAGTTAACTAGTAAAAAGCTGGAAGTAGAAGTATAGCTCAAATGGTAGAGTGTCAGGCTTGACTGAAGAAGCCAAGCAAGAGCAAAAGACCTGAGTTCAAGTCCCAGTACTGGTACAAAAAAACAGAAATTGTTTTAAAAGGGGAAAGAAGAGATAAGAAAATGTAATACAAGGTTGAATTTGATCTATACATATATAGAAACATTGCAATTAAATCCCTTTGCATAGTTAATATGTAGTAATAAAAATATATTTCCTTAAAACTCCTTGAGTTTTGTCCATTTCTTGAGTCCAGGTTAAAGCCTCCAGCCTCCTCCTGCTTCCATCATAAAACCCTCCAGGCCTATATTCCCCAGGATTCTGATAGTTCATTTGTTTACTTAGAAATTATTACTGGGAACTTCTGGCCAGGTTCTAGGCTTGCTGTTGAAGACATGACTCTGAATAACACACTCTGATATCCTAAAAGAATGATGGAGTTATATTTGGAAAAACAAGGAAGACCTGAATTTAGGACATTTAAGGGCAATACTTAATCTATCTATATAACTATTAGAAAAAGTATAACAATTTCTAATAGCAGTTGACCTTAACTATGGGTTTAGCATCATTTATCACAAGCACTTTCTGAAACAAGCACACTTATTACTAAATCCGCATAACAGGTCACAAAATAGATATGAAGAGCTTAGGCAGTGTACCTAAAGCCATGTAGCTGCTAAATGTCTGAGACTAGAACAGAAGCCCATCAGGAATCAAAGGAATATTATTCCATATGACTAGATGGCTTCAAATATATATCTTCCACTTCTTTTACAAGGTGCTGAACTTGTCCTTGATGTACAATTCCAGACAGCATCCTGAGAATAGCATTTGTATTAAAACTGCAAGGTTATATAGAAGTTCCTTCAAATAAGAGCAGTTTTCTGGGACCATCTGAGCAGGCATGGTTGGAGCAATCAGATGCTGCACACCAGAGGCACTGGGGTGTGTGAAGAAGGCAAAGTGGTCACTTTCAGCAGAACTCAGCTCAACTTCACTCAGCCCACTGAATATCAGACATCGTTCCAAATAAATACATGGAAGGCAGTCTTGTTGGCTGCTACAAGGACCAATCCCCATGGTAAACTATTTCATGACAAGAAGCATCTTTCTTTCTACAGTATTTGCACAGGGAAAAAGTGAGTCAACAAGACGGGAGATTAAGACTGGAGGCGTACTATTAATGCTAAGCACTACAGCAAAATCAGTGTTGCTACCTTGGGAGCACTGCTGCAGAGATTTCTGGGGCTCAAAAAATCTCAGTTTCCCAATTTTAAAGGAAAGATATGCCCAATGTTGGCCAAATGACAAATGGGATTGCATACATTTAATTGTAAAAATCTTCTGTACAGTGGAAGATATCATCACTAAGTGAAAAAGATACCCTAAAGAAGCAGAGAAAATCCTTGCCAGCTATATCTCTGATGAGGATCTAATTACAAAAATATATACGGAGCTCAAAATCACTAAACCCCCAAAGAATCAATAACCCAGTTTTAAAATGAGCAAAGAACCTAAGTAGAAACTTCTCAAGAGAAGTACAAATGGCCAATAAATGAATGAAGAAAGATTCAGCATCCTGGTAAATTAAAACATCATTGAGATTCCATCTCACTCCAACCAGAATGGCCATCAAGAATATGAACAACAACAAATGCTGGTAAGGATGTAGGAGGAAAGAAACACTAATATATTGTGTGTGGAAATATAAATTAGTGCAACCACTACAGAAGTTGGTAGTGTGTTTCCTCAAAACATTAAAAATAGAATAACCGTACAATCCAGAGATACCACTCAAGCACTTATCCAAAAGACAGCAAGACAAGATACAGTAAAGGTACTTACACACACATGTTTGTTACAGCACTATTCACAATAGCCAAATTATAGAAATAGCTCAAGGGCCCTTCATCAGCAAATAGCTTAAGAAAATGTGAGATATAGATAGATAGATAGATAGATAGATAGATAGATAGATAGATAGATAGATAGATAGATAGATAGATAGACAGATAGATAGATAGAATGAAATTCTGCACATCTATCAGAAAGAATAATATGTCATTTGCAAGAAAAAAGATTGACTGGGAAAATACCATGTTGAATGGAGTGAATCAGACTCACAAAACAAAGTATGCGAATTGTCTGTCATATGTGGATGTTAAACTTAAAACATAAACATACATGAGGGGCAAGGAAGATGGCTCAGTGATAGATTGCTTGCTTTGCATGCATGAGCCCCTGGGTTCGATTCCTCAGCACCACCTAAGCAGAAAAAGCTGGAAGTGGCACTTTGGCTCAAGTAGTAGAGTGCTAGCCTTAAGCTGAAGAGCTGAAGGGCAGAGTCCAGGCCCAGAGTTCTGGCCCCACTACTGGCCAAAAAATAAATAAATAAAAACATACATGAAAACACATACTGGGCCATATGCATGCATGCATGCATGCATACATACATACATACATACATACATAATACATACATACATACAATCAAATTGACTAAATATGATTATAGTATATGCAAGTGGATTTCCATGGTGTAACCTCTTTGGACAATTTACAGATAGTTTAACAAAATGATTATCTAAAAGCTGAAACATGCCTTGCCTGGAGTAGGTAAGAACTAAGGAGAGGGAGATGGACAAATGGAGAGAAGTCTGGTGGGAAAATACAGTGATAATATTCAATGTATGCACATGGAAATGGAATTAGAAAACTTTAGGAGATGGATGGGAGATGAAGGAATGATGGAGGGGTAACACTAATTAAAATGCATTGTATCTTCAAGTAAACCCATGGTCAGTGAAAGACAAATAATTACACCTGGACATGATGAATTAAACAGCAATCTAAACATTTACACAGTAAGAACAAAGGAGGATATTCTTAGGAGAGGATCACAAGGGCTCAATAGCTATGTGTATGACATCATATAAAATGAACTTCAAGAAATGGAAGCAAGAGGTTTTATATTATATTGTGCAGTTCTTTTTTCTTCTTCTTCTTTCCTTTTTTTACTTTGGTTTATTTCCTTCTGTCGCTGATTTCAATTTCTGTACTCTTTGTCTTGTATGTAAGTTTAGCTGATTTGGGGAAGGGAAAGGGAAACACAGAAATGGTGGGACAAAGGGTGAACCAATTCAGCAGTGAAATCTACTAGACACTATGTTGGAAATGAACTATACAACTTTGGGGGAAGGGAAGTCAGGAGGGGAAAAGCTGGAAGAAAATGAGGGAGAGGATGATACTGTTCAAAAGAAAATGTACTCAATACCTAAATCACGGAACTGTACATCACCTTTACAATAAAATTTTATAAATATGTATCATACACATAAATTATCATGTTAAATAGAAACTACTTTGTATAATTGAAAATAATTAAAATTTAAAAAAAAACTGGTTCCAAAGAAGGCATTGGAAAAGCAGTACTAACATGGAATTATGTTCTCAAAGCTTGAAGAAAACACCTCCAGTGTTCACATTTATAAATAAATTTTAAATTAGGGATAAAGGGATAGAGAACCTGGCTAGAGACAGTCTACCCTGGCTTCCATCCAGCTCAAACTAAATTTTATGAGGCATAAGAAGTCCATAAACATGTAGGACAGGGTAAGAATGGAGGTCATACCTTCAGATCCACAACCATCACTTGTAGTTTAGATGCTTAATGCCCCGTGTTGTTAGAGGTTTGATCCTCAGGATCAAACTTCACTTCACGGGAAGTGAAGATGACTTTCAGGAGTCAAGATCTTATTGTTCCTTATGGACCATGATCTCTTCTTTCTCTGCTTCCTGGCACACAGACTAAGTGACCTTCTCTTCTACACACTTCCCAGCGTGCTATAGCTAGAGACTGAGCTCTCAGTAGAGATTTTGTCATGAAGCAACCCTACTGGACTAGAACCTTCAGAACTGTGTCAAACTAAATCTATTCTCTTTATAAGTTGCCTTGGGTATTTTATTACAGTCCTATGAAGTGACAGCTACACCCACCTTTCTCACCACAAAGTTTATGTTGTGCAGAACTGATTTAGGGCTGCCACTTTGCTCCTCTGTGCTGGAAACTTCCTGGGCAGATGGACTCGGCTCACTGTATATGTCTGGCCTCGGTTTCTTGAAAAATTGCCTTGTCTGTTTCTTCACTTTCCTTGGATCATCTTTCATGCAGGTTTCTTGTTCCCATGTCAAGGTGGCATTTGCCAAAAACAACATAGTATCTGGATCTTCTGGTTGAGTGATGTAAGATGGGGGACTTTTAGCTACGAGAATTTTCTAAGATTAAAGAGACAAAATTAAATGGGCAGACATCATCCATTTTCAAGAATCCCCCCAATCTATCTTCCAATGACTCCACATTAAATTCTTGACAATGCTAAGTAGGATATCTAGGACAATTCAGAAGCTCTTCCACCCTGAGATGTAGGGATTGCAGCACAAAATAGTCCACTACCTCATACTATGGACCACAGATGCCTCTTTAACTCTGAAGCCTCATACACAAGACAGTTGGCCTTGGCTAGCCTTTGGGTGATGGCCTTCACAGCTCAATGTTGGTACACAAGAAACTAAGGGCATGAGCTCAGTCTCTCCTATGTCCTCCTCCAGGCTCCCATGCAGCTCACCTCAACAAAACATTTGCCAAGTAGCTACCATATGCTAGGTTATGGGGTAAACACCAGAAATGTCAATTATAAGTAAGGCATAATTTCTGTTCCTGAAGAGGTTGGTCTGGAAGAAGCTGGAACCTTCCTAGAACAAGATACATTGAGTCCTCACACTGTGGCACTGTGACTGCTGGAGAAGGGAATCCTAACTCCCCAACTTGGTTCATGTAGTTGTTGCCTGAGGTCAATCAGTACAGATGCTATACAAGCAAAGATGAAGGAGGAGACAGAGGTTGAGAATGTTTAAGCAAAAGGTACAGCACAGGCTGACAAGGAGCCATGCAAAACACATGACTTGTTGGAAATGTGGGTGAGGGCAGGAAATTAAGTTATTCAGGATTACCAAATTGCAGAAATCAATGAGGAAAGAGGTGGAATTAAAAAAAGTAGAGAAGAAACTGAGAGCTTGTGTTCAGTCCAGAGGAGGGGAAGAAGACAAGGGGTCAGGATTTAGAGCAAGTAAGTATCAGTAACTGGAGCAATATTCTAAGGCTCTCTATGGGCTGGATGTAATACGGATTTGAGAAGGGCGGTGTTAGTAAAGGAGGACTGGTGTGTAAGTCACTGTGATAGTTCAGCTGCAAAATGATGGAGGCCCTGAATACAGGTGGCAGCAGTCAGGAGAGAACAAAGGTCAAGGATTCAAGAAAAATATCCTTTCTCTAATCTGAGAGACATTTCTATTTTTTCTGCAATCACAACATATATAATGAATGTGACAGTGCTGATGTGTTTTGTTCCAAAAGTGGTAACAGAGCACCTTCTAATCCAACATCTTACATCAGTGCCTGTTAAAACTGAGGACAAGGTTGCCAGGAGGTAAAGAGGGGTACCACCACTGCTGGATTCGTGGGTTGTCAGGCCCCAAAATACAAAGGGCTCCTGTTTCTTCTCATATGTGGATCTTAGACCCAAATATAATCTTTTATGCAAATATACAGCATATATATAAACATATGCATATATTCTTAATCAAGTAGACTGAAGTACAGTATATGACTTGAAACTCCAAGATGTAAACACTTTGAACAATTAAAGCCAATTAGCAAAATGATTATGAGGGAACTGTAATGTGTCTTGAATCGGGGATGCAGTTAATGGGAGGAGGAAACAGAGAAATGGAAAGTGGAATGGTGGAGGAATACAGTCATAATGCTCAAATGTGCATAAGGGACAAAGGAAGTTGGAAACTTGATTTGACTGATGGAGGAAATGGCAGGGGGAGAGGATGTTGCAAAGTATGACTGATCAAAATACACGCATGCCTGTAATCCTAGATACTCAGGAGGCTGAGATCTGAGGATCACTGTTCAAAGCCAGCCTGGACAGACAAATCTGACTAATTCTTATCTCCAATTAATCAGCAAAATGCTAGAATTGGAAGTATGGCTCAAGTAGTAGGGTGCCAAGTTTGAGTGGAAAATGTCAAGTGAGAACTTGAGGCCCTGAGTTCAAGCCCAAGTACAGCTCTAAAAGATGAACTATGTACATAAATAGAGCTAAATTGAACCCCCCGGCACAACCATTTGAAGATAAAAATAAAAGCAAAAGACTCATCAGCCAGAGAGACTATCTTGTCTCTACAAGGGCAGGCTGCCTGCAAAGCTCTCACTGGTCTACCTTGGTATACACTTACTTTTCCTACTCTGAATGGACATCTTTGTGCAATGTCAGCCCCACAAGTGACCCAGCCCTCCACTGGATCTGTACAGCACCTCTATTTCTGGGCACTTTCCCACCCAGAAACAAGATCTCTCTTCCCTACTCACCCAATGTTAGTTATACCTTCATTCTCTTTAGAGAGACTTTGGCTTCAGCTGCTGCTTTGACCGAGAAAGGCAAAATCGCAATTGAAAACTTCATTACATTAAACATGGCAATCACACTAAATGCCTGAAGGACAAAAGAGAGATGTGAGGGGTCAGCACGATGAGCAGCCTCCATACTAAACCATTCTGTGACATTAGCAGCGGAGGCACAGTTGGGATTCACAGAGGAACATGTTTTCATTGCATGGCTCAGAAACCACTGGTTGGAAAATTCAGACAGTGGTATCTTAATCTATTTTCATTTTCAAGGCATGATGGGAAATATATCCACTGGAATCTAGATGAAGAAGGGAGGTGCAAGGCAGGCCCCTCTCTGAACGCATTTGAAGACATCCCTCCCTAACCACATTATCATTCACACCCTTCTGCAGACTGTCCCCAGTCATTCCGTGCTCTTGGTTCTTTCAAGGAATCTGAGCCTTTGGGGTTCCTGCCTTTGTTTGTAGACATGCAAAATCCCAGGACCAGAGTAGGTGGCTCCCTGGACAGACCTGTTCACCCTACTAGTTGCTGAAGTGGACTTCAGCTCCCCTTCTTCTGGAGTCTGGCCTCTATTCCCTGCTTTCCATGAACAAATGCCTGATATAAAAACTTCGTTCAACTGCAGAGTCCTTTCCCCCAAACCACGTCTTGTCTCCACAGGGGAGGGGGGGGGTCTTCTTACTGAGCCTGCTCAGGAGGTGAGAAGAGAGCCTCCATGAAGACAAACTGTCTATCTGCCAATCTATCTGTTTGCCTGTTGTCTCTGTTTGTATGCCTGCCTATCTGTTTCTTTCTGTCTCTGTCTCTGTCTCTGTTTCTGTCTCTGTTTCTGACTCTCTCTCTCTCTCTCTCTCTCTCTCTCACACACACACACACACACACACACACACACACTTCTTTCCTCTTCTCCCTCCCTCCCTTGTTGACTGCTTCAGCTACTTGTCCTGAAGACATCTAGTTCACATCTTAGCTAGGGTTTTACTTTATTTATTTAAGTCAATGCCCATCCACTTCAGCTCATCATTTGTCTTGGAAAAGCATCTACTTCTCAACATTTCTCCCAATTCCCCTCTGAGCTCCCATCCTTCCTTTGCCTGGCTGGCTAAGACCACTGACACAGCAATTGAGGGCCCAGATGCCCATGTGCTTTTCCTTGAAACAATTCAGGCTTCCTCACAACTCTGCTGACAAGGTTTGCAGACATTAAACCAAGGCCACATGGAGTCAACAATTTGCCACAAGTCATGGTCCACAAGTTGGGATTTAAACAAAGCAGACGAGGCTCCCAATCTGGGAAGGGGAGAATTCTGAACCTATTTATGCCTCTTTGACCTCCAATTCCCTCAGTAGGAACTAAGGGAATGACCTCAAACTCTCTGACTCATAGTATACAGTATATGAAGAAAAGAGCCAAGTACTCTGTTGATTTCAGTGTTCTTCAGCAAATATAAAATAGTGGTGTGCTACTCCATGCCACCTTGACTCTACCAGGGCCCAGAGAAGAACAATGGGCAGGTTCTCCTGCACTGCTTGTCATTCCAAGAACTAATTGAAAGCAGGCGGATTCTGGCACTGTCTGGTTGGGAGTTTTGATACCAGAATGGACAGAGGTGGGAAAGTCAGATGTCCCACCTGGCTGGGGACAGGATGCCAATACAGCCAGATCTAGAGCTGGTCCTTACCACAGGGGCAGTGAGCTTGCGCTTCAGGAGGACATGGCAGGTGAAAGTTGACACGATGGCAATGGTGGACACAATGGGGGCCAGGGCTGAGTTTCCACTTTGGACATAGCCAGCTTTTTCCAGGATTTTTCTTTCCCTCTTTCTTATATCTGTGAAATAGAAAACAGTTCTGATGTGGTTTTACTTTGTGTGACAGCATTAGTATTAGGAAATGTGTTAACAGGCCTTTGTCCTTCTCCAAGTGATGGTTAATGGTTCCTGTGGTGAAGTTGAAATGGGAAAATTCAGAAATGCCTGGGCACAAACTCAGGGCAGACTCGCAGCTTGATGTGAATGTGTGCCTGCTCTACGTCTTCCAAGGTCCCTTCTAGCCCTGTTACCCCATGGGTCAGTCATAAGTCCAGAGGCCTGCAGGGGCCAAGCAACGACAGTGAATGACAGAAATGGGCAGAAGATATGAGATGTGAAGAACAGACAGCCAGACTTCAGGGAGACCCTCTCCTTTTGTTGAGCTATCTTCAACTTTGTTTTAAATAATGAATTAGAAAGAAGAGGGGGGAAATGAGTATCTGTTGATTCTTGAGTAATCCATGAGAGGAGATAGGCTTTGGTTGAAGTGTGTATGGAACAGAGAGTGGCAGGTAGATTCTGGCTATGCTCTGCCAGAGACAAGATGCCTAGGGCTCTTTTGAGCTTAATTATCTCATCTTCCTTTTATCTTAAAAGCAAAAAAATTGTCCTAATCATAGCTCCCATGGTCTTGTACATAGGAATTTGGCATATATTTACTGAATTAAACTAATTTGAATTACATTGAGTTGGGTTGATATGAATTAAGTCAAATTGAATTATATTAAGTCAAATTATAATGAAGTATGTTTAGAAGTGCAGAAGTGTTTCTGGATACTTAAGAAAGTCCCCCAGGACTTCTGGTGTGCCAGCCATGTCATTTCCTTCACCAAGCTTAGAAACACGTTTTCTTTTATTTTTCCTTTTCTGTTTGGGAGACACGGACTCATTATGTAGCTCTGGATGTCCTTGAATTCATGATTCTCCTACTCAGCCCCCTGAGAGCTGAGATGACAGAAAGTTCACCACCATGCACAGCAGTAGCAAGCTTTCTAAAGCCATTTTCTGAAGTATAGACTCAACGTTTCATTCCAATTGCATATTGTACAAACTTGTGATTCTAAGTCCAAAGTCAACTATAACCATGATTCCGATCAGTAATCAGTCAATCTGGACCCATGCCAGTAATCATGGCAATGTCCTTACAATCATGATTTGCATTTCCATTTGATTGTACAGTTTTCCTATAATCTTTTTAAAACTTCATGTATATACTTGTATCTCCCAAGGAATAGACAATGGGTCAAATACTAGTAAGCTATTGCAGGCAAGAAGTTCATGTGTAGTATTTGTGTGTGTGTGTGTGTGTGTGTGTGTGTGTGTGTGTGTGTAAAAGTGAGAGAGAGAGAAATAGAGAGAGAGAGAGAGAAACAGAGAAAGAAGGAAGGAGAAAGGCCTTCCCTAAGTCAAAGAAATAGCTTGAGATTGCTCTTTTACTGCTCTAGTTTGTTAGCAGATTAGCATTCCAGTGAAGACAAAGCCATATATTTCTTACTTTGGAGTACATCAGATGTCTGGGTCTATTATAAACTCTCCACTATCCTTGAAAGAATCCTTTGACTTGCTGTGCAGCCCAAAGGGTCCCCATCAGCTCCCTACACAACCTGCAAACCCTAAGGACCTCTTAGAAGAGCACATTCTACAGAGTAAGTGATTCTTTAAGCAGCTTCCCCTCCTACCTTGAATGGTGTTTGTAAATGATTTCTCCCAGGCGTACATTTTAATCAGTTTGATGCAGGTTAGAAACTCATTCATTGTCTGAACTCGCTTGTCTGTCACAGAAATTGCTGATCTTCGGAAAGTTGAATTGAGCTTAGCCATAAACATCTGAAATCAAGGTACAAATGCTGTGTTCAGGGAGAACTGCTGAGTTGCAGTTGGCCTAAAAATCCAGGAATTAGAGCCTAAGTGCCAGGAAAAGTTCTAAAGGAAGTTGACTGAGGTCATTAGATAAGTGTGTCCCTTGGCCTAAGGGAACCTGCTGGCAATCAGGCAGGTGATATGACCAAGTACCAGGATGTCAAGAGGTGTCAAAGACTTCAGCAAACTGAAGACACATGCCCCTTTCCCCAGAGTGTTCAAGTTTTAAAACTATAAATATAAAATAATGGCAGGGTTCTGGCAGCCTACACCTATCATTCTAGCTACTGAGAAGGCTGAGATCTTAGAATCATGGTTCAAAGCCAGCCCGAACAGACAAACCCAAGAGTGTCTTATCTCCAAATAACTACAAAGAATCAAAAGTGGCACTGTGGCTCAAGTAGTAGAATGCCGGCCCTGAGTGAAAAAGCTAGGAGACATCACCCTGGCCCTGAGCTCCAGCTGTAGTACACACACACACACACACACACACACACACACACACACACACCACTGTGCTAGCAGAAGAAAGCACACTTGTGAGTGCCAGGTACACACCCCAGAAGTGCAGCCTTCTATCTTATTTAATACAAGCGTACAGGACTGTCCTTACCTGGATTGGGATGAATATGAGATACACAGATATCCCAATGAAAGCTGTGGGTCCCAAAATGAAAAAGGCATACACTGCACAAACGATCATTAGGATGGGGATGGTGGCTGGCAAGGGACAGAATAAGGCGGCTTCAAACAAGGAGTAGCTATCACTTGATAGTACGTTGAGCACCTGGAAAGAAAGCACACAGACTCCATTGAGAAGAATCACTCCAATTTTTCCTCAACCAAAGTTTTTCTAAATTACTGAGGGGGAAGGATCAATCAAAGGACCAATGTGAATTTTGTTTTGTTTTGTTTGTTTTTGGTGGTAGTGGTACTAGGGTTTGAACTTAGGACCTTGCACTTAAATTAGCAGGTTCTTTGCCACTTGAGCCATGCCTCTAGCCCCAACATTGTCAGTATCCCATTCTGGCATGACTTTGGGGAGACCAGTTCCTTAGGACTAAGAATCCCAAAGAAGGAAGACTTAAAGTAATAGATCTATCCAGAAATGTGCTGTTATCTATTCTTTGTATATCCTGCTCTTCTGTATCAGCAACTAAAAGACTCCATCTCCCAGCAACCATTGTGTAAGGAGTGTGACCACATGCCCATATAAGTCAGAATAGGGAAGGGGATGAAGGGAGAATTTTTTTTTTGTTTTTGGTCCATCGTGGGGCTTGAACTCTGGGCCTGGGCACTGTCCCTGAACTCTTTAGCTTAAGTCGAGTGCTCTACCACTTGAGCCACAGTGCCTACCACTTCTGGTTTTCTAGTGGTTAATTGGAGATAAGAGTCTCACAGACTTTGCTGCCTGGGCTGGCTTTAAACTGAGATCATCAGATCTCAGCCTCCTGAGTAGCTAGGATTACAGATATGAGCCACCAGCTGCCCAGCCAGGAGAAATTCTTAAAAGGAGTCAGTTCAGCATAGAAGACAGGTCTCTTTTGTTTTTCTCTATTTCCTCCTACTTACTTTTTGAAATGAGATTGGGATCTCTAATACACATCCTGAGCCTATAGAAGAGCCATGTGCTAGGAGAGTGACAAAGAAAAAGGAGGACCTCCCCCAAGGTATAACCCCTGCTTTCACTGTATTTGATGTTGGTATAATTTGTGGAGGGAAGGGGAAAAACAAGTTGTTTAAATAAGGATACAGGTAGATCCATTGCAACAATGAGATGTACAAGTCGTTATGTTGA